ACTCCTAATGCGGTAACTTTGACAAATAGGAGCGCGCCGTGCTCAATGTCTGGATCACACACCAGCACAAGGACACACAGCGAAGACAGACTGACAGTTGAGACAAGCCAATTGACAGAAAAGCCCCCCAAGGAAAGAGCCTTGGACCTCTTTATTCACAATGGCAACTCTGGAATATCAACCGCCTGAGGCGAATCGGCCTCAAGGGCTGTGCCGTCCGATGTAACGGTTACAGCATCGTCTGAATAACTCTCTACTCCTAATCTACGCAACACGTTTACAATCTCAACTTCTACATTCTGGCGCGTCTCATTCAATTCCTCTGAAAAATGAATGAACTAACTCCACAATCTGTTTGTGTCCTGCGGATCTATTGGACTTCGCGTTCATCAGCCGTAGCTCAAGCAGATCCAGTTTCAACCACTTCACCGAATCCAATCCCCACATCGCGAACCCGTTCAGGCACTTCTCTAACCGCAATCTCAACACGTCGGTTGAATCCTCCCGCAGTTGACGATAGGCATCCTCTACCTTTTGCATTCTCCCCTGCGACTCTTCCGATCTCATCTCCGACTTCTCTAATTGCTCCCATAACCGTTGACAGTCAGATTCAACCTTTAATCTACACTCGACCTCCGAAGACTTGGCCGACTCGCAATCTGCCAATTTCTTGGCCCAATCCTTCAACTCTTCTTCATGCTTCTGATTTCCCGCCGACAGACTTGCTGATAGCTCCTCCGCACGTCGGAATTTTGTTTCGTACTTCGCGTCAATCTTCGAGATTTGCCTATGAAGATCTTCCTCCGCCGTCTCGTACCTACGAGCTTGCCCCAAAGTTCTTTGGCGATGCGAGCTTCTTCGGCTCTTCGGGCTTCCACCTTAGCAAGTTCTGCGACATGCATCTTCTCTCGCTTCTCCGCTGTCGTGATCAATCGCTCCGCCCTTTTGAGTGCTACATCGTAAGCTTCCCTGGATTTCTCCAATCTCGCCATCAAATCCACTGTTAGCTTCTGCGCATTCTCATAAGAGGTACAAAGTCCTCCACAGGTCTCTTCCAACTCTGCACAGCGTCTTGATTCCTTCTCTAGATTCAGCTGCAGCACTTCACACTCAGTTTCCTTCTCCCGAAGCTGGGCTTCTCGCTCCCGCAATGTTGCCTTCACTGCCGCGCACTCGGTTGACAAGGTTGCAGCTCGCTCCCGTGCCAATGCAGTCGCGGAATCCCACTCACTCTTTACTGCAACTGCTCTCTTGAGCTTCGTTCTGTTCTTGATCATCTGAACATAAAATCATGGCTACTTCGATACATCATACTTCCTTCTCTTCCCGTCCAAGTACTTCAACAATGGTACTACACTATCCTGCAAGAATTCAGGAAATGTAACTTCCAATGTCTTCACATCTTCGCCCGAAGTCTTCTTTACTTCTTCGGGTCTCACCGCTTCCACAGGAGACGTCGGCAGTGTAATGCTCTCAGCTTCCACCACCATCCCTTTTACCCTTGCGACAATCTGTTCCATAATCTCCTCGCTCAGAGTAAATTCCTTCTCCAGGTCCTCGTTCATCTTCATCTGGGGTGTCCCTTCGCCTTGCGCAGACCGTGTCCGCTCCGAAGACAGAGAAATCGGACTTACCAATTCCGTTCTCTCGTTCAAAGGTTTTGCCGGTATATCTGCCGGATCTTTGATTGACACCTCCGAAGGTACTCCTAACTCCACAGATCGCATTACCTCGCTAGTTGCGACTTCGAATGTGTTCACAATTGGTGCCACCGTCTTCTCCACAGTGCTATTTGACACCTCAATTGTCACCATCCTCCGTTTCGCCCTCTTCTTTGATCTTGCGCGAGCTTTGTGTTGTCTGGCTCCACTCACATCCATATCCATCCTTCTAACCATGTGGGCCAATTCCTCCTCATCATCACTTACGACCTTCCTTTTCTTTGCCACTCGTCTCTCTGGCTGCTCCTGCCTTGGAACCACGTCCACCTGCACTGATCCTCGAGCGGTAGTGTGTGTTGGAACTGCGGGAGATCGATTCTCGTCTTCGGTCCCTTCACTGGACTCCACTGTAAAGCTCTCCAGCTCCCTTGGAAATCGCTTCTCCTCCTCCCTCGTACGCAATCCCATTCCTCGATAGAAATTCACTAGAAAGAGGGGTCATAGATCTCGTCCATCGACCAGATGCATTCACCCAGACAAGATCGTAAAAGATCCTTGCCCAATGTACGCGCTGTCCCTTCAAAATGCGCTCGAAGAATCCCACCTGCCAAGCCGTCACATAAGTCGTGCGCGCCGGGCGTAAGATGTGCATGATCCCTAACGCGATTGCTCTTCTCTTCGGATCCTTATAATCGACAGTCTTCCATCCATTCGTTCCCTGTCTTCCAGTCTCGAAGAGAGGCCCGTAAGAGAATTCCTCGACGCGCGTAAGTCCTACGCTATTCTTGTCAAACAGAAGGTCTACGTCGCTTCCCGCACACGGTCCCATTACTCTCGTCCAATGCTCGATGGTCCACAACATGGGATTACCGCGGAGCTCCTCGCCTTTGGTCGCGCTCTTGTCCATAACCTCCTTCCAGATACTCGCTGAGACGCAATTCCAATTCTACATAAGGAATTCTAGCTGCAGTTCCCCCAACTCGTATCTGAAGGGTCTCAATTCCTCATACGGCACCTTCAAGGGCGCCATACGGCACTCTTCTTGGGCGCCATGTATTCAATTTGCGTTTCGCTAATCGCGGATTGGCTCGATTGCAATTCCTCTCGCTCTCGATTGTTCTTGCTCAATATCGCAATGTTGGCGCGCAGTTTCCTCCTACTGCCTTTACCCTTGAAGCCCTAACATTGCCTTCTCCTGCGACTCGTAGAACTCCCGACGCCCGCGAACCTCGTCCGGTCGGTTGCATGATTTGAAATTGATTCCGATGTCTTCGCCGAAGACGCAGCTCTTCGTGCGTCCTAAAAGACTGCGCCGAAGACGCGAAGATCCGAAGATCTTTGGACGTAGACAAATTCTAACTAATCCTATCATAACTCCTATAAATCTACTCTTTCCAACTCATATAACTATCTTCTACACACATATTTTTATGTTTTTGTTAATTTTTAAAGAAAAACAAAAAAATAGGCCCCACAGTAGTTTCCACCCTCCTAACAAAGTTAGATCTTGCAACTGGACTGACCATCAATAGGAGAAAATGTGTCATATCTACTTTAGTCTCCTTCTGGTTGGCTATACTCTTTTGAATGCATGATAGTCCCTCCTAGTACTTTATCAAAATTGTTGTGTACACCATTTGAAGTTTCTCTAAACACAAAAAATGTGGACATATTTCTCGCGGATAAAATCAAAGCCAAACTTGAGTATTGTTCTTCGGTCCACCTCTCACTTGCAGCCCGTTCCGTGATGATCAACTCTGTACTTCTTTTGATGCTTTGTTACTTTCTAAGCATTTGGGACAGATCAACAGCAATTCTACGCACCATTCATGCATCACTCCAAAACTATTAGGGCCGATACAAAAGAAAATACAAGGGCTCGTGTTCGTTGAGATGACTTCTACGCAACTAAACGCATTACAGTATTGCAGTATTGGGCATCATTGATCTGAAGGAGTCACTCACATCACTTATGAGGAAATGAGTGATCAAGTACCTCGTCCCCACTTCATATCTTTCTACGACATTGTTTGGCTGATCTCATGTCACTCGTATCAGACTCTTGGCCACGTAGTTGGCAATGGGCATTCTTGGCTAAATTTTCATCACTTGAAGACTTCACTCTAAGAAATAGACTTGTACAAGCTTGGCATTTACTTAGACCGTTGGTGGATGCTAAACCTCTAACAACATTCAAGAAAATCCAAAACAATTAGCTTTGATGGAACACGCATTTTTTGGCAATAACTTTGCTTTTAGCCTACTTCAAGCTTGCTAATTGACAAGAAGAGGATTACAATGTCTCCGTGATCTTTGACTTTTAAGTACCATGCAATTATTGCCCTAGAAAGAGCTGCAAGAATCTTATGACGCCAAATAGTTTTGTTTTAGTCCAATAATTTTGAGGAGTGGAAGATCGGTCACCGCACACAAATCCAATTGGTCCAAGGAGAATGGCTAGGGATCTATGTTAAAGAGCTTGTAGATGATACTTTTGTCATGTTTCAGACATCTTCAGAGTTCTATCCTGTAGTGCTGGAAGATCATAAAAGCATTTTTATTCCAAGAGCTCACACTACCTTCATGATGGATACTAAGTCTTGATCGTTGATAACTCTCTTTTGATCTTCACTGGGTCCAGTCTGTATAGAGTTTGTCTTGCTCGCATTTAAGTCATTGCAATGGATCCGCTGGCCACAAAACATGGTAAACCCATGCTTAAGTATTTTTTCACCTTACTTTTGATCCATACTGCTGGATTTGGAGGACTATTTTTATTGATTAGCCAGAAATGGTCATTGTTTTGACTAAAACAAAAATAAACGGTTATGCTAGAAGGTGTCATTTTACGCATACACGGGTAGCCGTGGCCGCCATTGGCGTCATTCGTGACAAGCACTTAGTTTGCCTATTAGTGTGATGTGGAGAGGGCTAGTGCCTGCAAATTTTGTCCCCAATTGGACAAAGGTTTGGATTCCTGACCGCCCCCGCAAGGAAGCGACATTCTTATGAAGCTTCTACCATTGTTAATTATTGTCAACAATGATGACATGTTGCTCATTCAACAATCTCTAAAAACTGTAGCGGCTACAATCAAAATTCTCAAATCATTGATCCATGGTTTTTTTTAACAGTGAAGCCGCACAGTACGAGTGGGCTTATGCTACCAAAAATTTCTATTGTCTTCTTGATATACCCGTGGACACTATGCCTTGGATTCCCTTAACATGACAACACTGACTTCTTGGGGCGGAGGTGCCTGCTACTCTTCGACAAGGTAACAATACTTGATCACTCATGTGTGGCTTAGTCATGTGGGTTATCTAGTTGGGACAAAAGATGTGCATCTTCAAGAACATCCAATGGTCCATTGCTCAACTAGAGCGTGCGCTGAGGGATGCGACGGTGGACCTGGTCAGAGCGGCATCGTTTCACGTGTAATTGTTGGAAAACAGCAAGCAGCTACGACTCTTAGTGTAGGCAAAAAGTTCATGAGTCAATGGGCTGGAAATGAGACTGTCTACACATTTCAAGGTGATAAGGTTAGATGGTTGCACACACACCTGATTAGAGGTATGTTCATATAGGTAGTTTTGGTTGGTTTTATATTATCATGTAGTTAAAAACTAAAATTTTGCCTTTCTCGATTATGCGGAGGTGTGTATTTTGCTCTTCTTGCAATGGAATTTTCACAATTGAAACTTGTTGGATCTCTTCAATTTTGTTTCGTTTCCTTCTTATCCCATCAAGTAAATTACTCTTCTCGTTCTTAAAAGAAGGAACAATACATGCTTCTTAGAATCCGTTGAAGAATACTGAAAGTCGTCAAATGTGTAACATGAAGCACTTTGACACCGAAATGGTTGACGGATATCTTTCCCCTGGGGCGGACAACACTGAGTGCCCAAATATTATTGTAGCAAAACTAGCAAATATGACAAAGAGGGAATTCCCCATTTTAGATTCCGAAGGTTTTCGACCGTGTTGTGTAACTTCATCCCGCCTTTTCATCGAACTGTGTCACTCATCAAGGGAACCACGGTGCTCCATCGCATTCGCCACATGTCCATAGTTCCCCATCTCGTGGGGCTCCCTGGTACGCCTTGTTGCGTATCAGAGATCCACGTCACTCATCGACAGTCAGAATGGGTCCCGAGATCAGAAGCTGGAGTGCCCGGGGGAGGGGAGTGGAGGTGGACACCGCCCAGAAGTACACGACAGCAGAATGCCCGCGTGGATTCCTATGTGGCGCACGGGCGCGTGTGCATACACCGAACGCGTGTCGGCCTCTGCACAGTTGGAGGTTGCGGGAGGGAGCTGCGTCGAGTTAAGAAATGGTCGGACCAGAGCACGGAATCAGCTTCCGGCGATCGTTCGATTTGACAGTCGCGAGTGGATGAAGATTGGAGGGCAGCAGAGGCGTCCAGCGAGACTGTGAATCTGCACTCTGGCTCTGAAGTGTTGGCAACTCCAGCTTGTGTCGCGGTTTTGTCAACCGGCGATTTGGTTTTGCGCGATATTCTTGCAACGGAGGAAGGTCCTCTTTTCTGTTCCTCCCGAAGCTCGAGTGTTATTCCATCTCGTAGTCAATTTAGCGTTTTTGTGGGGAAGAGGATTTGTAGCGGCTTGGTGCTGGTTTTCGAACGCTGTTGTTTCAGGGTGGAGTAGTGCTCGTACTTTAGTTTCTCTGTTGGAAGACTCCGGTTCATTGGAGGCTCAGTCAAAATTGGAGGCTCAAGTTGTGTGGATCTTGGGGTTGTCTCAGTTCAGGCTTCAGGCTTGATTGAACTTCGCCGGTTTTGAAACTTCGAAGTATGGTGATGATTATTTTCTAGAGGAAAATGGAATGGTCTACATCTTGGAGATTCAGGTGAAGGTGGAAAAGCGGAAGTCGTAATGTTATAGTGTGTTGCAATTCATTTTGGTCATTGGCAAAATTCTGATCGATCAACGATAGTTCGCTCAATTGGAGTGTTCTATTTTATCAATCGTTTCTGGTAGAAATCTGGACAATTCCTTCTGGTTCTGTTTAAACGATGATATGATCACTGGGGTCGATCGTACTTGAAGCAATAACAAGTGGACTTATTCATCACTCAGCATCCGTGGTTCTGTCCATTCGCTTCTTCACTAACCTAAACGGCTATTCGGGAGCAAAGGCTTCTGGAGTCGGGAAATGTCTATGAGTATGAAGTCAAGTCAGTTAGTACATACATATCAGATTATTTCTACGCCTCAACGCCCCGAGTTGTCAGTTAATGGATCGAGAGGCATTAGAGGAATGTGCCCTCACATACACCACCTGAGCATATCAGGATGTAAGGCGACCAGAAACTTAATTAAGCACTCGCTCTTAGATTCTAGACATGGATGCAGTTTACATGTTCCAAAGTTGCGTCCAAGGAGGTGTTCCGGCATAACTTTCTCTGGGCGAAAAGACTCAGGGAATATCAGCAGCCTTGAGAGACTAGTAAAATGGACGGCGAGGTCAGAGCTGGAGCAGAAGGAAGACTTGAAAGAGGAGCAGACGAAACCGACTATAATAAAATCAGACGATTCCAGTAAGTTTTGTGTACTATTTATTTAAGAAGTGAGTCTACGGAAAACTCGTGCTTAGTATTTGAATCAAATTCATATATACTTTCATCGTTAATTCCTGACCATGGTGTGTGTGCTTCGTTCACCTGCAGAATTTGAGGGGCTTATGATCAGGGCGCAAAATGTGCAGATGACTGCTCGAATATTCACCTCCATGATGACCTGGGTTGTTCTATTTTTCTTGTCCAGTGTCTTGGACGGAGATTCTCAAAGGTCACAAGATTTAGGGAAGAAGAATGGAAAGCGTGGACCTCGCAGGTAGACGGCACAGAATGCAAGCCTTTAACTGGCTTTATACTGTACCAAACATATACCTTCTCCATCTTAGCATGGGATGCGGTTCATTTTACAAATGGACTTTTCCCGGGGCTGCACGGCTCGTAGAGGCAGAGGCGATTGTCTTCAGGGCTATTGATGTTCTTCATATAGAAACTTGCTTGACTAGGACGAGGTTGTGGGTTTCGTCGTCAAAGTCAGAGGCTGATTTTGGTCGACCCACAACCTGCTAATTATTTGCCAAACAACTGTTGCTCCACAGTTTGGCCTTAACTCAGAATTCTGTCAGTCCAACAGCGACCTGATCCTCTACATCAAGCCTTAGTTGTCATGTACGAGGAAAATATCATCAGGCTTGAAGATTTGAGGCATCCATTCTCACATTCGGATGCACAAGCTGGTCAATCACGAAACAGACCAAGGATTACACGTCCTTCGGTAACAAATTTAAGGGTGAGGTTGGTTGTCCGAGACGCTGCTCATCTTTAGCTAAGATCTTAGTTAAAGATGAGCAGCGATATTTTCAAACAGTTGTCCACAGTAGCTAACAGAGCAGTCATAAAACATGGCTTCTTTCATAGGTAATCGCCCTGTAGCTCTCTTTGGGCATTTCATGTACATATCGTTTGTGAATATCTTGATAGACGTGCTGATGAAAATCATTACGAACAATGTTTATGGGATCTCAATATTGCCTTGTATCGAATGCAAGGGGATATGAATGTAAATTTTGGCCTTTCAAGCATGAAAAGAAATGAGGATTCGGTTGTGGGCCATGTTCGTATCTCTGTTCAGTTTTCATGTAGAAAGGGAAGACAAAAGTCTGGTGAAGGTCTGAAACATTGTGAATTACCTAACGATTTTAGCGAGGATTCTTCTTGTACACTCATAGTAATCACCAGGTTCGTGATAACTTTCGACATTCTCCAAAAGGTTGATATCTCTCTTCTATCGCTGTCATAGAAATACGACGTTCTGAATACAATCAATGCAAATGTATATCAACTGCACATTCTTGGATCAAATGCAATGTTATATGGACATGAGAGTTCTCCTGCAGATAGTACCCTGCTGCTTTTCTCGATTGAGCGTTGGCGATTCGAAGGGTGCATACCTTTGGGTTTTCAGGCCTGGAAGTGAACCTTGCAGATGTCATCAATTATCAACTGACATCAGACACATATGTAGAAATGTATGCATGAATTGAAATGGCCATCTTTCATGCTTGTTACAAAAGTAATGGAATTTCGTTTTTTCAGGTCTGAAAGTGAACCTTGCAGATGTCATCAATTATTAACTGACATCAGACACATATGTAGAAATGTATGCATGAATTGAAATGGCCATCTTTCATGCTTGTTACAAAAGTAATGGAATTTCGTTTTTCTGGTTTCAAGGTTGTTCTTCGTTGCTGAATGTTTGTGTGGATGGAAAGCGATCACGATATAGTAAGTTCTTTTATGCATGTTACAAAAGTGATGGAATTTCGTTTTTCTGGATCCAAGGTTGTTCTTTGTTGCTAAATCAGAACGTGGCTTGATATTGAACTTTGAAGATTGTCAAGAGTTGGGAAGGAGATTTTATCCTCTGATGTACACAGACTGGCCTTGAGTTAAAATTTAACACTATCGTAAATGTGTGTGCAAGTTCACTGCCAATGTGCACAATGGCTTCTATCGTCAAACTTCTGTTAAATAGAAGGACTCTTTCAGTTTAAATTGCTGTGGTAGAACTAATACCCAACTGTTGAAGTCGGCATATCCACTCCTAAGCCAGGTGAGGATAGAATCAATTGCTCCATGTATTATTAAGTATATTTATGTAATAGTCGACGTTTATGGACTTCGCACAGCACCTCTTCCCCAACATGGCGTTTGTTTCTGTAGATGCTTTTACTGCCTAACATTTTCAATGTAAAGAAGGCAATATATACCGCGACCAGCGTCACTAGAAGATATTTTCACTGCATCTACATCGTCGATGCTACGGGTAGGTCGAAGTTGAATAATCATTCAGATACAGTACGATGTGCAACCTGTCTGCACGGTGCTTCTACAATACTGACGCGATCCTCCAATTTAACATATTTATCGTATAATCAAAGATGATGTTGTTTCAAATCGTACAGCTGCATTCATAAACCATGTCATCCTGACGGTTGATCAGTTAAAATTCCTGCTTTGAGTCTTGTTAATTAGACACTTTGATACTTCTCCATTTTTACCTGTTTTGGTTGTTTCGTTTTCCTCTCATTTTGCAAGTGGTTGTAGGGAATCTATGAGATTTTGTCTTTGCAGCCTAGTAAGATCTTATTGCTAAATTCAATTTGAAGTTCACCTAACAAGTGACTTTCGCCAACTTTTTCATTTGCACCCTACAAGCAGTGATATTCCAATTTTTCTCGGAAGAACATTACTCGTGCTTCTGCTAGTGCATATATGGGAGTCTAACTGAATTTTTTTGCAATCTCAGTTTCATACAGTACAGAAAGTACTATTGTAAAAATTGATTGCTTCTTGACCAGGTAAGTTTTTTTAAAATATATGCCTCTTTTTGTTTCTTTCCAGCTTTTGGAGAGTAGTCACAGGGCAAATTCGTGAGAATGTTTCATTAGATTCCGCTCTCATCTTCCCAATAGTCTAATTTTTCAAGATATATGCAAGACATGTTGAGGTTGGTCATTTTAGGTAAAGGTAGTATTATTACATACAAAAGATGCTCATCCCCGAACATGCAGTCTTTCTTCCTCCTCTTTGCCCATAACCTGGAGTAGAGTTCTAGGGTTTAACTTTATGGATAGAAAATTTAAATAGATACAAACTCTCCTTTAGTGGATAATAGCTTTATTATGCACAAAGATATTCAGGTTTGCAAAAAATCCTCTTTTAGAGTTCATATCTTCTAATATGGGTTGGTTCAACAAACAAAATCTTCATTACTCATTTGTACATATATGTAGTAAGGATCCATACGGTTCATTGGTCATATGAAAGATATAGATTAATTTCACAATACATAGAAGCTTTTATATGACCCTAAGCGTTGGATATATCACATGGAGTAAAAATTGGTATGTCTTACATATTGACTTAAGCCAACCTTATACATTGTTATTCTTGCATTCGTTGTGTCTACATATCATATATTGGGTTGTATTTCAAGTGCATAATCACAAATTTTCATCTTGGATGAGAAAAAAAGTAGCCACAATGTCATTCACAATGACCATTTTTTAACTTTTTAATTTTGTTTTTTTCATGGTATTAGAGCAAGGCAAGGCTAAGAGCAAGGCTTTTGCTAAAACTCTTGTAGTTTCTTGAAAACTAGGAATATCTGGTTGACCTTTTATTTTTATAAAAAGATCAAAATTTTGAAGATTTAGTTATGATGAAAAAATTGTTTTTTGATTTCTTTCCATAGATTTTTGGCAAATCAAAAAAATTATAGGTATATTAGTAAAGAAAAAATAATGAACTTTGCAAAAATAATCACTCATGTGAGTTTTATTTCTTTACATTCATTGTGCGTATTACTTCATTATGGATGTATATAGCAAGATGATGCTCGTAGGTGACAGCAACAAGTTGGTGTCGAAGTACAATTATCATGTTTGTTGACTGAAGATGCGATCGATGCTCATGCAATTTAACGGTTGAAAAGTTATGATTAACAAGATTCAAATACTAGAAAGTTCACCAGTTACAGTCAATGGCATATTTGTGAACAAAATTCAGCTGTTGAAAAATATAACACATGAGACGATTACAATGTCTTAAAGGAATGATCTTGTGAAATTAATGTTTGAGAATGATGATCACACTTACCTTTGGTAAGTGTTGGAGAGGATCTTCCGGTTGTGTGATCAAGGACAAGTATTTGTCTTGTCTCAACAACTACTTTCATTCATGATGGTGGAGTAATTATCAGTTATGCAATACATCAAAAAACAATAGAACTGAATAACAAGCTATAGTCCGCTAGAAACCGTTGCTAACAAGACAATGCCATCAATCATTCTAAATGGAATGTCACAATCTTACGAGGAAGTTATTCAAGGCATTGATGCTTTGGAAAAGCTTACTTCTTCTAAGAAGACTATACACAAATGGCTCATTGAAGTAAATTCACAATATGTAATAGATGCGCAATCAACTATCTAGAGAAGAAGATGTAGTTTTAACTTTGCAGTGGTGACGTGAGTATGGTAAAAGCTTTCAATGGGATAGAGTACGATTTGATTATTGTCTATATATAGAAGGAAGGAGCAAATCTACACGATCCTAACAATACCATTAATTTTATGAACGTAATAGTGTTATTTGTTGGGTGTGCAGCAAAGAATTTCTTATAGCTGATTACAAAGGAAGCTTCAAGAACCTTTAGAAGAGTGAATCAACTTCATCATGAATGATGGAAAAGAAATATACTATAGTGATGTTGTAGACAACTTTGATTTGACATTAGCAAATGTGATGTATCACCATAATCACAAGTGATATATGAAGCATGTGTAAGGCAATAAAGAGCCATTTAATTTGGTGAAGATTGAGAAGGGAGGTATCGTGATAGGAGTTGGAGGAAAATATCATAAAGGTAAGAAACGTGAAAATGTTCACGTTTCAATAGAGAATTATGAAATAAAGCTTGACAAAATTTTCTATGTACCGTCAATGTTCAATAATTTAATTTTAGTACGTAAACTTACATACAATGATCATGTTATTTTATTTGCACAAAGGTATTGTTGGATCATGAACAATTTGGTTAACAAGCAAGTTATATCTACACAAAGTCAAAATCAATAATAGACACTTCATGTTTAATTCATCAGCTAGTGAAATACACAACATGACAAAAACAAGAAAAGCAAATTTATGACATCGTTGTTTTGATCTTTTCAACTTCCATGAATTAAGCCACTTGTATAAAGAGAATCATGTAGTAGGAATGCGAAGTGAATGATACTCATAAAGTTTGCACAACATATCAAGTAAGTAGTCAAGGAAGAAATTTCATAAATCATCCGTTAACGGAGCTAGTAAACAATAAGGTGAGTTGAGCATTCCATTCCATTGGTGGCTCACTTCAAACTTTCTACTGCTACATGTTTTACTATTAATGAAAAAAAAGGAGCTATGTCTAAATTCCTTATGATAAGGCAGTAGAAAGTCTTATATACTTGATGACTTGTACCATACCAAATATTAATCTAACTGTGGAAAAGTTAGTAGATTCATGTTCAATTCAGATACATTCTAATGCAAGACGGTTAAATGGATTCTTAGGTACCAAAAGGTATAAGAGATGTTGGCTTATTATTTGATGATGGTTTAGACAATGCCAAATCCTTGATAAGCTACATAGAAGTCAATTTGACTGAACAAGCTTATCACAAAGTTAAATTTTAAACAAAGTATTATTAGTAACCATTGTGATAGTCAAAGTGTTATTCATCTTGCAACTAACCAAGTTATAGATAGTATAGTGAAACACATTGATATTCAATACCATTTTCTTTGACAACGAGTGTTAGAGGAGATGGATTGAGCTTGTCAAAATTGACAGTGAAATCAATATGGCGGATGCTTTTACCAGAATGATTTCTTTGGAAAATTTTCAGAGTCATTGTGTTCAGTTGCAAATTTTGCACACTTAGGTTGCACAAGTAATTAGGCCTAGTACATATCTAGATTTTTTATATGGTTTACTCCATCCTTTATAGGCTAGGACTTTGTTTAAGTTTATATTTGTTTACAAGGAGGTCTCTGTTTTAGATCTCCTTCTAGGACTTCCCGCAGGTAGAACATATGGTTAGTGGAAATTTGAAACCCAAAAAATGAGTAAAGGGAAGATTGTTAGAATTTAACTCATGCTTTGAGATAACTATAGTTAGGTTTGTATATATCATTGTATTTAGGATTTCTAGATCTAGTTAGGATCTTTACTACTATAAGACAGGTATTATCTGAGCCCATTTTGAAACTTCTTGCTCATTTGTGCTAGAGCACAGAGAGAGAGCTTGTCACGTTGGCTATGGAGATGAAGTAAAACTTCTAGGTTATTCTTTTCACTTGTACATAGCGACTGAGAATACATAGTTCTTCCAGACAGTATTGTTAGTGCTAACCCCATATTACACATATGTTTTCATCCATGCATGCTCTGATGAGTTCCTTTCCTCCTTATATATATATATATATATATTAATTACTACTTCAATCAAGTTATCACTTTGAAGGACATTTTTTCAACATGTTTAAAATGTCACATTAAACTTACCCAAGGTATGTTATGAAAGTGACCCATGTTTTACCCTCATGTTTTGTGATACTCCACATATCTGAAGACGTAATGATGCTAAACCAGTGCAAAGTAGAGTAACAAAAAGGATGGTAATACCCCATCGAGCAGTGCCTTGAAAAAACCAAAATACATCACAAATGAAGATACTTTATATTAAATACGATATATAAAAATACATGAAATGTATCCAAACAACATACTAAAAATTATTGCTTGGGCTGGAAGAGCTCCTGCTATATGTAAAGAGATGTACAGGAGGTGAATAATTTGGTTGGATAGAGAGAAAAAGGACTTGTACGTTAGCCACCCTCGTCTAAGATATCTCCTCCATTTCAACGGAAACGAGAAAAGGTGACAACGGGAGATTCCAGTTCCGTGTCCTCGAGGGAAAAATATGTATATGAGAGGTCCTTTGCAAGTGCGCACGTGCTTTGTGGATATCTACAGGCTTTGTAAAATACACATCGCTCTTGAAGCATGTGCAAGTCCAATGCAATCACGGGAATTAATGTAGACAAATTGGTGTCCGCAATCGACAGCTGAACTAGGTTTTCGGACTAAATTCATGAGTTTGGATTGGCAGCCGGGAGGTAAGAAAGTGTTCTGGACTTGGGTTATCCAGAATTCGATAATCAGTGAAAGTAGAAGGAAGTTCTTTTCATTTGCATTCTTCGTTCGCAAGGGTCTAGAATATCATTGTCTCGGCTGCAGCCCTGGAAGTTTCTGCTGTGAAGCTCCTTCCGAGCATGTTTTGCACGCACAGCAGGCGCAGCCATGTTATGTCGTCCGATGATGTGATCGAGAAAGTGACTTGCCAGGTTCATCTTCTTCTGCACTGACTCCACAACCCAAGAGCATCGGAACTTCGAGAGGACTTCTCGAAAGATATCATGAGACATCTTTCGTGAGCTCTTAGTTGTGGATGTTCATGCCAAGAGAAACGCATTTCTACATTCCCCAGCATTGGAGATGGAAACAAGTTTCGAAGCTTCACATGAGGTGCACGCTCTGCAAGTGTTCTCTAACTCGATACGAGAAAAATTTGAAAAGCAACAAGAGAGTGCTCCCTTTGCAAGATGACAAACAAACTTTCCTAATTTGAAAACATCATCGTCACCAACCAAGTTAGGAAACCCATGCCAAGAACTGCCCGACTGAATCCATTTGAAATGGGCACAAAAAAGTAGCACTAGAAGACGAATGTTCACAACTCGTGATGGCGAATGGGTTTAAGACGTTTGGTATACCAAATATGGTGGGGCCTTTTCCTATCAAGTTACCAAACTATGTGGAATGAGTTATTTACAACATTACTGGGTCCCGCTTGTGCCACAGTAGAAGCACGTATATTCTGGCAATAGATTTGGGAGAATGGAAGGCATGTGCGTTTGGTTTTTACTCCGGCTTGCGAGTGGGCTGACTCGTAAAGAGCTCACTAGACATGACGGAGAGGCAAATTGTTTACTCAATGTAGACCCAGTAGTTGTCTGGATGACAAGTGTACAAATTGTGAACACCTCGATGCTCAGAATCTTCGTCTTGTATTTCGCGCTCATAGCCTCAGAGGTTACCTTATGGAAAGAAATTTGCTAGAACCAAACAAAGAATCGTTCGCCTTTGCACAAGTCTTTTGCTTGTGCGGAGGAGACACTGCTGTCCATGAGGAAAAGTATGGCTTCAGCTTCTGCTCTTCTTCATGTGTGAAAGCTTGAGCGCAGTCGACTTTAGAAGGATCTCGACCATCAATTCCAGCATCTCTCGACAGGCTGAAAAGCCCATATTCTCCTCTCACAAGACCTTTCAACGGACTTAATTTCCGTTTCAAGGAAACCAATCGCAGCTCCAGAGGCGGCCGAAGGATGTGCTTGAATTGTAGAGTCTAGAATCGTACACGACATATGCTTCCTTTAGGCCCCAGAAAGTGCTCGGGTCCGACATCTTACACCCACCATTATCATCATTATACCCCCACTAAAGCCCCCACCAAAATCAGCTCCGAGGGTGTGACTGCTTCCACGGTGAGCATTTGCTATCTCAGTAGGCCAGACAAAATTCGAGCATGAGTCGGCCATTCCGGAGCTCTGTCATAAACCCGGAGCTTGTAAACTAACGACAGGATAGAGGGCTTCTGGAGATACAGTCCGCGGGACTGTAATCAGGAGTTTACCCCTTTTCACCAGGCGAGCTTTGAATGGATGCGTCCGCGTAGACAGACAGAGTTCATACAAGCGACGTGAATGAACGGGCAACGAACAAGTTGGTTCAGGCACAAAGAGTGTGCAGCAGCCTCGCTGCGTTGTCCAGCATCACGCATGCATTGGCAGTGCTGCCAGACAACTGCCAACCACCAGTCTGTCCTAGCGCACCCTCGTGGCACTTCCGACCAACCTACCACATGACCTGCATCCCCTTCCCGCTTCTTCATTCCTCTGCCCTCCCCCTTCTCTTCCTCCCGCTCTACAGAAGAACAAGAGCAGCAGACGCAGTTTGTCGTCGGCACCGGTGAACACTGTGAACCCCTTCTGGAAGCCAGTCTCCACTGAATCTTCACCCACTGCCAGTTCTCAGCAGCAGCATCTTCAACTTCCAGCTCGCTCCGTTGGCATCGTACCTCCCCGGCCTACTATCTTCTGCACGCTCCTCGGCGAAAGCTCCAATTCCCAGGAGCCCTCGAATCAGTCCGTGGTCGAGTCCAAGTGAGTCCTTTCTCTCAATGCACTTCTCCTCTTCTTTTTTTTGGCTTGCATTCTAACCAGCCAGCTGCGCAGCTGATCATTAAAAATTGTTGAGCTCCGGACTCACCACTCATTGTAGCATCGACGTCGTCTTTTTTGCCAAAGATGTACGAGACAGGACTGTATTTCGTCACATCACAGCCGTGGGAGCTTATAAACTTGTCACGTAGCAAGAAGGAACCCACTGATCATGAGAGAAAGCACAAAACTTTGAACTGCCTGCCCAGGAGAACTACTTGCCTCTCGGTTACGTGTCAGATGTCATCGGCAGTGCGGTGGACTTTGTCGGGACGAACATTCCTGTTGCTAGCTTGAAACACGTCATATGCTACTGTGTTACTTAGCTTGAATCAGAATTCTACATTCTCGAGCTTAACATTCTTGAGCTTAACCTTACCGGCTACAGCTTCAGCTTTTAGCTGCAGTGGATCGTAATCACTGCTATTTGAAAATTGAGTGTAGTTCACTTTCTTCCTCGTAGAACAAGATGGCAAGCAGGACCGCACCATCAAACTAGTTGAAAGGCGAAACCCAGTACAGCTGAATTGAGACAACAACAATAGTTTACTTGGCCGACTGAACAACTTCTCATCTTTTTGCTGGTCTCTTTGTATATCCTTTTAGATTCCTCTGACTTCTGATCGTAATGTTTGGTGAACTTCGGAGCCGTCGTCTCGAGACGTGGGCAACGATTCCTACAATGGACTTCACTGGCACTCCAACTTCGATTAGATAGAAATCTAGCTCGTCACTTGTTATTCGTGATGCGCCATGTCAGCTGGCCCCTAGCTGCAAGAGCTCGCTACTACCTTTGTTTTTCTGTAGGAAGTCTGTGGGCTCACCTCGATCGCCGAAAGTACGGAGTATTTTCGGCCCCATTGCGATACGAAAGCTGCGTGCTGGTACACCCCAAGCCGACGTGCAAGACAGAGACTGCTCTGTGATCCTCACTCCGGCGAAGTATGCAGCTCATTCGTGACGGGAAGGCACTGAATTTGCCTTCCGCTGTATTTGGCAGGCCAAATACTCAATGTCCTCTCTGAGTTGAATTATCCGCGGACATTGTATCAAACTTTCAGTCTGACGATCTCTATCAGGGGCGTTGTGAATCAGGTCCACTTGTATTTCCTGAATGCTACACATGTGGCAGAGACCTTCGTGATTCTAGACCAGGTCGTACTGTACAGCTTGAGCCGATAGCCGAGACTACAACTTCTCTGTAGTGAACCCGAGAATCTACACCCATGCATGAGCTCCGATCTTTCCTCAGCTTATTTTTACAAATCCGCTGGTGACAACGCTTCCTGTCGTGACTGTGTTTCAGTGGCTCAAGGCGACTATGCCGTGGATGGTATCGAATTTCCTGCAACCATTCAAGTGCCAGACTCTCCACCTCTCAAATTTCTCGGCCAAGGTACTTCTTCCGATCCTCATTCCACGCAATGCCTGTTGTCGACTCGTGTCTCAACCTTCATGAGATAGCCGATTGTGCTGACAATTCGTTGTCGATTCGTGTCTCAGGAGTGACTGATATGACCATCGAAACCATCCTGGTGAAATTCACAGCAATTGGTGTGTATGCCAGTGAGGACATTAAGGGTCATCTTAAAGCTTGGGGAGGCAAGGCCTCCTCTGACTTGACAGCGGAGGAATCTGGTTACTTCAAGGACTTCGTCGATGGTGCGCGAGTTTCCTCTTCTGATACCTTCCTGTTTTGAGAGACCCTGGCTCTATAACCTCGCTATTGTATGATCTTTCAGCCAGCTTTAAATTGGGGATAGCACTCAAATCTAACTCGATCCGAATTTGACATTCCAATGACAGCTCCAGTGCCCAAGCTCCTGAAAATCGGAGTCATCAAGGGCATTAAAGGAAACCAGTACGGTGGAACTCTAGAGTCCTCAATCCGAGACAGGTTGGCCTACGATGACAAGTACGAAGAAGAAGAAGAAGCCGTGGTCGAACGTATTGTTGAGTACCTGGAAACTAAGAACCTCCCACCTGGCTCCTGCATGTTCATTTACTGGCCTACCCCAGACGAGATCAAGGTACACTATCTCAGTCCCTGTAGATTGTTATGCTTTTTCACCTTTTTGCGATCAAAATTACTCTGTTGGACTGGATCATTACATCGGAATTCAAAGTGGATAAACTTTACCGAGAGGGTCCATGGGTTGGATTTTCAGCTGAAGTTTCGCTGTTTTTGTTTTGTAGATGTCGGTGTCAACAGACAACACTATTCCAGAGAAGTTCGACTTCTCTGCTGTCAACAAGAACGTTGCGACCTACCTTCTTCACTGGTACATGGGTGAGAACGCAATGTCGGAGACTACATCAGCTGCGTTGGCCGAAGGCGTTGTTGCCTTACTGGCATGAGCTAGACATAATACCAAACAATGTAAACTTCTGCCCTCGTGTTCGTTTGATGAGATATGATTTTAGTAGGGATAGTCTTCGTGAAAGTAGCGTATATCATCGTACACATGTACAGATTCGATTCACTCGTATCGATCGCGAATCGATACAAATTACACAGCTTTCAGTTATGGCTCTCCGTGTCTGTGATGCCTCGCTTCTGTTCTGCTTCAGTTGGTACAGAAATATTGTGGAAACTGCGATAAATCACAGATCTTTGAGTCTCTTTGAATATCTTCACCCAGATAGATGGAGAAATTCATTATGTATATGTGGACAATGCCACGGGTGAAATATTTCGTGAAAACAACCCCAATTCTCCAATACGAAGGTAATCTTGATCAGTTTGCTACAGCAAAATCTCGCACGACTTATTATCAACATAAACCATGTGACATGTGGGTAAGAACGATATTGATAAAATACAAAAGATCTCATCGCGAAGCTGTAAAGGTAAAAACTATCGATTGAATCAAAAAATCTGTAGTTAATACGGAAAGCAAATGACACATCGGAAAAGAAAAGTAACTAATAATATCGATTTAAATTCGATCGTGGATCACGCAAAGGGTGAAATAGAGAATTTTCCTGGAAAAAACTATGTCAACTCTTGAATCAATATCATATACTTCTGATATATCCTATCAAAGTCAGCAACAGAAGCTACACTACCTTGCCCACTGCAATAAGCTTGAACACGAAAATATGTATTCTAATTACTTGATCGTGTGACAAATAAAACTGATAATATTCACACTGCCAAATAACAATATCAAATACAGTCTTCATGCATATATACGTCATATTGGAATACGACAAATCTAAACGCCGATGTAGTTTACGATGTACAACTACTCGGCGCACCTAATTGGCCGAAAGAACCATGACACTTCGAAAAAATGACACAATGCTGTAGAGAAATAAATCTGTGCTCGGGAAACAATCGCAAACCATCATTCAGCCGAGAACAAAAGAAGAACGTTGTGATGCGGTCTTGAATCTGCACCACTCTCTCGGCGGACCCTTTATGAGACTGACACTAATATGACTTCTCATCGTAGCAACGCTCTAGCCCGTTCGTCAATGACTGCAAGTTCTGAACTCGGAATGATAGCAGTATAGACTTATTGCTATTACTTCGGCCACAGGGCCTACAATCTGTCACGAGGTGACTTGAAGGACCTGTTGCACTATCGTTCGCTAGGGGATACAATTGGGCTGTCGTCAGACTTCCCTGCATGGCTTTCTAGAAGTTCCAAGTCTGGACCAGTGTAGCAGATTAAACTTTGCTTTATGAGAGTTGTCAGCAGTCCTCTATAGTTTCCCGCCCTCTACCAGTTTTCAGATGTCGATGATTCGAGGCACGTAATAAGAAAACTTCATTGGTTTGCACGTGTTAGCACTAGACTATGAAGGAGATGCCTTGTGTCAAAAAACGACATCAAAACGTACGTGGATATTGCCTTGTCGCGTCTATAAGCTCCTGTAGGTGTTGGGGGTGACTGATGAGGCTGACAGTCAATGATCCGCAGTACAACGCCCAACAGTAGTGAACATAAAAAAGCTGACATTTCAACAATACGTTAGTAGTTACATCATCTTGTGAGAAGGTTGGTAGGCTGAATCCAGTTTGGTTGGAGTAGGTGGCATGTTACAAATTTCTAGATGTCTAGCATATCGGTATACGCATGAAAGAAAGTAGTAAATTCCAAGTACGAAAAGCGAGAACACTGAGATGGTGTCAAGGAAGTAGGCTGTGGGAACCGCTAGGTGAGGATACGTGTTCAGTACGAAGGCTTCGGTCCGTTCTCTACGACAAAGGCTAATGAGAGAAAAGGAAGGCAAACAGCAAGACAACATCAAATAAATACTGTACGCCTTGGTCTTCGCCTGTATTTTTACTGTTGTCACCTCTGTAGTTTATGCAGCCAATGTACCGAAGAGGTAACAGAATGCATTGATGGAATTCTTCATGAACAAGCATTGATGGAATTCTTACGAGGTACACATCTTGCATGCCAACTGCAATCTGCCTCTTCCTTTGATGCATGTCAAATCCATGAAATGAAGTGAACCAAACCACAAAAACATTCGTCCTCTGCATTTCATGAGTAGCTGGAACAATAAATACAACTCGAAATGACATCTCACCGATCGTCATGTAAACCCTCTTCATCGATGGCATCGGCGTACAGTTCCTGTTCGAATTCTCGCTAGTATGAGGGCAAGTAATTATAAAATCTGAAAGAATTACAAAGAACTACATAGGTCAAGTACTTTACTTTGTACCACCACTAAGGAACAATTTATCCCTTTTGATGTTCGAGGGTTGAAACTTTTTTTTCCTTTCAGTTTTCTGCTGTGTGGCGTTTGCCGAAAACAAAAGATCCTGACTGACATCGAAGAATGATCATGCTAAGTATGCCATGCTTTATAAAGAGTACTTTGAAGTTCTGTCTTTGATATACTCAGCGTCTACAGCATCGGAAAGCTTCATCCCAAGGGGCAGTAAGCAGGTATGACCAACCCGAGGTCTAGTTTTCGAGATGATAGCGGGGTCAAAGTCTGGTCTGCCATAGCCAATACTTGTAATTGAATCCCTATATGGATGAGAGAGCACCGCACCGAACGTGGTCAAATATGCATCAGAATTGGATGTTCGAGTTGTTTGATGTCCATTTATTACAGCAGGTACGAAGTCTCCATCGAATGCTGTACATTTCGAAAGAGTTGACATGGTGCATGTGTGACCACCTCCTACCATGGCTATATGGTGGGCGACAACATTTGCTGGCGAACATGTCCTCCACGACGGGATCTTGATAAAACCTCGAGGTTTCTCTCGTCTCTGCTGATTGTGGTGGTTGTAGTAACTGAGTCAATAGGTCGGAATACCTTTGTAACACAGTTCGTATATAACCACTTTCCTGAAGAGCATGAAAACGGTGTTGACATCATGATGTCTATCCAAGAGTATGTTACTGTCGATGAGATCCAGCTTTTCTGCACGACGGTCGACTTTGTAAGAGATTTTTGTGATCTCATTTTCATTATCACGTTTTTGAAATTTAGTGTTCATACGAGTAAGAGTGGTCAATTAGGGACAAAGTTGGCATATTCGGTCATCTGCTTCTTGTGCATTTGTCAAGCTGAAGCTTTAGATCCTCCCTATGTTCTTAAGTGGTGTAAATGTTTCCTAGCCATCCATAACTATCACAGGGTCCTTTCGTTGGCTTATCTGTGATCAACCTTCATTTCAGTATGCATTGTTTCTCATGAAAGCAAAGAGCCTCGTTTAGGAACCGAATCCTATCCAACTCCCAGCACTTTCCACATGTACAAGAGTTTCTGTGCCGAGGATAATCTTGGACGTATCATGAGACACCTTCAGCACAAAAGACGCATTCCATCTTCGATAAATGGCATTCTGTGTCAAGGTTTGGGCTGAGGTCATACTGTCAAGCGAGAGAAAGGATAAAGATCACGAGCTTAATTTAAAATTCCGATGGCAGCATAAGCTCAGGAGGAATCATTACACAACGGCTGAAGAACAGAGAAGGGACAACAGCTTGACAGAGGGTCCAAAATTCTGCCTCTATGTGGAGGGAGATAGAAGGTGAGAAAAGTCCTCCAGGACTGTGGTCAGCAGTACAGCTGTGCCGAAGTTCTGAAGCTGGTAGACTTTCGAGAAAATCTTGTTTGTTGACTAAATCAAAAGCAACGGAGACGCATAGTCAAGAATCTGTAACTGGTTCTTTTTGTACGACTCCATCAGGTCCCCAGACTCTCTTACATGCGTAGACTTCCCATGTCACTTCCCTCTCATTGTGAGAAGTGGATAGCAAAAATGACGGAACACCCCATCAAGCCGTACATGGATTCCACAGGAGTAAGATGGGATTAGGCCTCAATCAATTGGTCTTACTCTTCTTAGACCTCGGAACTGGCAGAGGCGGCCAGATCGGGGACTCATCAAACTTCGTCGATGTCAGTGTATCAAAACTGCTTCAATTAGAGGGCCTGGCTTATTGAAACAGTCACATTATGTAGCAAGTCCAGCAACTCGAACTCTCTGCTGGGACTGGAGAAGCACGACTTCATACAACCCTGTTCTGATTCTTCGACAAAGCGTATGAGCATATTTTGGCTTGTTGACTGGGGGTGATAACTTGAAATCACAACAACAGTGGACTGTGAAAAGGTTGTCTGTATCTCTGAAGAAAGCAATACAGCGTGACCCGTCGAATGCTCCTACCGCGCTTATAATCCACCCCGGTATAATGACAAAGAGATGTGAACTTTAACACAGAAATGTGATTTCAATAAGGGATTGTTTAAAGCACAATCACGTGAAGAAGTTAGGACTTCCTTCAATCATGTCTTCCCCGGGTTGAGTAATGTACTTTGGAATTTACACGCTGGGTATAAGTCAGGTGTATAACTTGGGTACGTTTGTTTGGATAATGATGATAGGCTGGGAACAAACTGTTTTAATCGTCGAAATATCGGGAAGATAATAAGAAAATCAACTTCAGAAGAATCTAGATAACACATGTATTATTTCATTTTGTCATCTTCACTGGCTGATACATTCGGATTTAGGGATAAAATTTGCCAAGATTGGAGGTGTATTTCAAAGTTCTGTAGAGTATAGTTATATGAATTTTAAACGTAATGTATAAATGGAGAATAAACGTAACAAGTTTGTACTATCCTCTTGTATTCAAAAATATAATGTGAAGATTTGTTAGATAATTTAATTCGATGTCGTAGTAAGTTTTATATCAAAGATATATAATGCTGTAGTAAGTGCTCACATATACTCCGATCGCAATTTCGGTATAGTAGATTACAAATACAAAACCATGAAATTACTTGTATCCAGATTTGTGAATATAACGAGGATTCACTGTATACTTTCCAAACAGCCACCGACCACCTTCCTGTCGGAAGTCATCCTGAAGGCTAGAGGTCCAACTCTTCGGCTCTATGGCCTTCTTTGAAAACACATCAATGAAGGCAGAGACAAGAACAGTAAGATGTTTCCGCAAAACACAGACGCCCATAGATTTTTTAATACTTCAACGAAATTCGAGTGCCCACGTTTTAATCAACGATTTCTTAGGTAGGTTATAGGGATATCTTTGATCATTGTGAACGTTCACATCCTATGTTGTACACGCAAACTGAGTACAAACAAAATGCTAATGAGCAGATTCCTGTCAACTGTTTCAATACATGTACACAGATGATAACTTCTAGTTTCTGAAGGCTCCCAATGTCATCCTCTGGTGAGCTCAGCCTCGTCATTCTAAGCCAATAAAATATTCATGGTAAGGCAAGCAGCTTACCAAACCCCATCATTCCATCTGGAAGACTTCTCCATGTACACGAAATATCACTAGCTACGTACAATTTCATTTAAAAGATAAGAACCTCTTCGCCTCAGCTCTCGTGTCTGGTTGGCGAAAACCTTTCCTTTCTCCTTTTCTGATCTTCCTGTCCACTCCGATATTGCAAGAGTTTGTTTGTCCTCCAATTTTAGGTTCGTTTTCGGCTTTGCTTCTACTAAAAGACTTTTGCCTCTAATTCGTGGATTCTCCTTGTATCTTCATAATCTTGTTGTCATAATATTTATCACCTTAAAAGTGCACCAACTACTAACACATCCCACAAATACCGGTATGATTTTCGGTGTCAGATGGTATTGTTATGTTCATATTCCTGGAATGTTGTCGTGTAAAATAATACATCGTTGAATTTCATCCACAGAAGAAGGCACATGTGTCCAAAAACGATAACTTCAACCTATCTGAAACATCAGAGAGCTTAGATGTTCTAGAAGGAGAGACCTGCCAGCGGACAAAACAGAGAAAAAGTATGGAATTCTACATGGAGGATCTGTCTCTCTCTGGATCTGCAAGACAAGATCCATTCTAGGTACGAGATAAAATTAATTCAGTTAATCTAAGGTGACAAACTTGAAGTGGCTACGCGATGTCTAGATAAAAGAATGATGGTAGCTTCAGATACAATTATTTATTTTATGATTCTGGCCTTGTACACACAATCACGTCAGTCAAGCGAGAATACGCATGAGACCCTCTTCCAATTCGGTGGAAGTGTGTTTCCAAGATGTACAGAGGGTTCCACCGTGATTCGTGAGTGTGCCAACTCAGTTCACCTCAATGTGCGTTTGTCCTTAAAAAATTGAAGCTCTGGGTGGAATCGGTCTTACCCTACTTAGGTCAAGACTCCGTTGAGTCTTGCCTAAGTAGGATAACGATACATCCATCTCTATTCGGATCCATCTCTGCAGAAACTAGTTTCTACAGACTCATCTCTAGAATCTGAGATTTCATACTGCATGACGTCACTCATCTCTCAGCTGACAGTTTACTCTGACTTGATTATTGAGCACAGAGACGACACTGGGAATGCTGAGACCTAAACGATTGACTGAACGACACCGGCTTATTGCTCAAAGGAGTTCCTGCTTCGATCACTAGTGATATAACTCTCTACCTCTTGCAGCGTTTCTAGGTCAGTCATCTGCCATGGCCACGACTGAAGAGCTCGTAACGCATCAAGGAGGGTGTCACTGCAAGCGAGTGAGGTGGAAGGTGAGGGCACCATCGAAGGTAGTGTGCTGGGATTGCAACTGCACCATCTGTCTCATGCGCCAAAATCTGCACTTCATCGTTCCTGCGTCTCAGTTCGAGTTGGAGAAGAGCTCAGAGGAGTGGCTTACTCTGTACACATTCGAGACTCACCAGGCCAAGCACCTGTTCTGCAAGGTCTGTGGAATTCTATCATTCTACGTCCCCCGCTCGAACCCAGACGGCTATGCCGTGACGGTGCGGTGTGTGGACCCTGGAACTATCGAGATCGGCCGAATCCATACGTTCGATGGTCAGAATTGGGAAAGTTCCTACTCTCAATCCAATATTTCCGCTAGTTCCAAACAATGAGAACGAGTCTGTTCAGGCAGAAGGACATTGTGAACAGACTGCTCACAAGTTTACAATCGTGAACTGATGTTTGAGTTAAATGCAATAAAGTTTTTCCGAAAAGATGCAAATCTGATGTTTCTGGCTTGAAGATAGCCTCTAGCTCTGAAAGATTATTTGTTACCAGATCATGTTTACGACAAGATGTAGGTAACAGGACCCAGATTTAGACATGATCCATTTCTTCGTGTCCAAAGTTTTTTTTATGTTAATTTTATCATGATATGGATTATTATTGAAAAAGTATCCATAGTTACAAGTGAAAGAAAAGTTTAAAACAAAATGGGCCAGCCAAGTACAATAGTCTCCCATTGAAGTAAAAAATGGTAAAAAGTGGTAAGGATCAACGTTTTGAGAGATTTCATTGTAGTAGTTCATGTATTTCATTGTAACGTATTCTGAATCTTCATCTAAAGCATATTTTGGTTTCTTCCATGTTTGACAATGAGTACCAATCTCACGAACTTGCTTTGAAATTTTTCAAACGATTTTTTGATAACATATGATGAATCTTCTGTTTTTGTTTGAACATTAGAACACAACAATTGATACCCTATGTCAAGAATTTCCTTGTACAAAGTTTCAAATCCATTAAACTCAACTCTATCATATTACAAATGAACATCATTGTCTTTGTCAAGAACTGTTTCATTAATCTTCATCGAATCCAACAATTCACATAATGCATTCTTTATAGAACGTGACGTAACAAAATCCCATGCTTCTTTTACATAGCTTGCAGCATTCAATAGCTGCTTTGGATTTTGGACTTTGTTGAACCATCTCTAGCACGTTTTCACATTCTATCATGACTTCACTTGTTTCAAATAATTTGTCACTATCGGTCTTTAATACATACAGGATCTTTTGGCTTTTCAATCATTTCCAAGAAATTTTATGCTTTTCGGATGCGTTGGCTCAAACTATCTGACAAACACGATCTTTTGATTTTTTTTCGCCTCTTGTGTTTGAAATGTAATCATTTGGCATAAGAATATATTATATGAAAAACAAAAAAAAAAATCAGTCTCTGTCCATGTTGTAGACTTTCTCAAAATTGTATTGAACGATGATGAGCAAAAATTGTTCTAAGTCTAATAGTTTTCCTAGTCATTCTTGTCAAACTCAACACATTGTACATGAAGAAGCGTTTTGTATAGATCTACGTGTGTGTTGAAACAATCAAGTCATTGACATGAAGCTTTACAATCTGAATCGGAAATAAATAATGTAGAAGCAATATCTTTTGCTTCTGCAATGGCGAGAGCTAGCGGCACAAGAATTTTGGCACGATGCATGTTGTCAATTCAGATGTACATCATATCTTCAATTTTGAAAAATTGTACAACTTAACATATGAAGATATTATGCTTTGTTTCTTTGAAAAATAAATCAAATTGTTCGAGAATGAAATCTTGTTTCTTCCACACCTTCCGCATAGCGCCTTCGTTAATTTCATACTCAAGCGATATAGCGTGTTTGCTTGGAGGATTTTCTTTCTGAATTTTGAAATGATCTCGTAACGTTATGCTTCATTCATACGCTTGGTGATTAATTTCTTCAACATTGAAGCAATACACAAGGGTCTGAAAATGAAGATGTTAAGTGCGCAACTACTATGTAAATGCACACACAATTTTAAGTTTCAACATGAATACTTAACAAAAGTGACATAGACATGAGTGAAAGATTATTTTTATAATTTCAATTAATTGCGAGTGACAATATGAGTGTATTACGGCTTACATACAACTTTTCAACCTAGTCAACAACTATTATGTTCATCTCGATACCTTTTGATATAAATTACACACTATTTTGATTGTATCATCAAGAAATATATGAAAATAAAGAACACTCATCAAATTTCTATTGATAAATTCATGAGTTTCCAAGTGGTTAGTAATATGCATAAATTAAAATTAATATGAACTACTTACTAACATATATTTCTTGTTATAATATTAAATCAAAATTCTAAAATATTAAAATCACACATGTCTCTACAGATAATTTCCTATGATTAATTACTGAAGTAAAAAATTGATTGTATTATTCATTTAAAAATGATAGTCAAATCATCATGATCATTAAGTTGAATTAATCATAACTAATTCAACTAAAAAATATAATGTTTGATCCTAAATGAATTGTTGAATTTATAAATTATATGAAGAAGTATTATTTTGATAAAAAATACAGTAGATAATTCTAAATATTATGTATGAATCTTTTTATTTAAAAAATCGTGTAATTGATGTTCTTACTTATAAAAAATATGAATGTGAAATTTCAACTAAAATTTTTATAAACTTCATTTTAATTCATCTCTTGCTCTAACCCCAAAAAATTGTTATTAAGAATAACCATGTACAACTCAGAATCTTCCATAGACCAGTACCAATGACTTTCGACATATGCATTAAAAAATATTTATGTTTTTACCTAAAAAAATATGTTTTTCATATATGATCATAAGCATAATAATATCAGTACAATCATGCAGCTCGATTTTATTTTTCAAACCAAAACTCCTTGAGAATAGTTCATATAACCAAATTGGTGTGCAGCCTATTTTTGGTTTCTTGCCAGGATATAATTCTTTCCAGTTCCACTACTCTACCTTTCATGCCAATCCTACAATTCATGACATGGTCTCTCCGTTGGCACTTTGCTTCTATGCGAACAAGCACCATGACCAGCCTAGAGGTCCAAAAGAGGCTACAGAAGTGCTCAAAGTAGCAGATTGCGTCACGGAAAGTAAGCGATCTAAATCATGTCACACTTTCTTCTTTGGGGGTACCTGACGTATGGAAAACCGCATACATCACCAAAAATCATCGGGAGCAAATCATGCGAGCGGAATAAATGTTGGGTCATGCGGTTCAGATGGATACATGAGCACTTCACCTGCAAATCTTCCCTTTCTTTGTATCTCCCTCGTGCTCTTCCGGAATCTTTAAGCCCTGGGGTGATCAGGCGGTTGAGCTATTTGAGACACCTAAGACTTCTGGTCTGCATTTAAATGAACTTTCTTCTACGAACAGATCTGCAACCCCTGAAACCCGCACTCAGCCCGGACTTCGAGGACCTTTTTCTGGAATTATATATACGATTTGTGATGTACGGAAAACGGGGGGAAATAGATCGAGAAAGGAGATTGTGAGGTGTCAGATTGTGCCGAGTTCGCATCTCCATATCCTAACGATGAAGAATCTGCTCGGTAAGAGTATTATACAATAGGATAAAGAAGTAGATCGTACCTCGTCCTACTTGGACACAAAGCCTTTGGAGCTGACGAGTTTCTACTTTGTCGAGTGGGTTGATGCGTCAGCCAAGGATCCTCCAAAGGTTCTTGTGGCGTGGATTGATCATGATCATTTTCAGTATCTTTCGTCTTCTTGGTTTATGTCCTCGTGATGTTTTTTTTATAATTAGTTTAAAGCGATTTCATTACTCACAAGAGTAGACTATATGTTGTGTCATTCAATCTCATGCTTAAATCTGCTTCTCGCTTTGAAGAATGACACTAAAGGTGGTTGACAGATTATTCGGAGGGAGATCTTGTTGTGACTTCTTAGTTTCACCTTGTTATTCACGTAATATCTTAATCCACTGAAATTCGGAGTTCCCATATCTAGAGGTTGTGATGAGAAATCATTGAGGATCAACTCACTTTACAATCTGAAATTGGATTAAATTGAGTTATAAGTGGATATTGAGAACATGCTTAGTAGTGTTGTACATTCTCTGCAAGTAGAAAGATTTGAAAAGGCTAATTTAGGATTTTTTTAGGGTTCAAATTCTTTATATGAAATTATCACCGCCAGTATTCAAGGGAATGTTTTGGGATACATTCTAATTTCCTGGCTCAATAGATATCTCTTTCTCATAATAAATTGATCAGGTCAAGTTGTGTGTTTTTCTTCTTAACATTGACTTATAAATATTGGATCATATAGATCACATTGCACACATACTTTTATAAATCTATACTTGAGATACGAAGTGTAAACTTCTATAATATATACCCCGAAAAGTTAGGTTCTAAAGCGATGTATGACATTGACAAACGACCTATGCATTCTATGAATACAATATGTGTATGAGGACTTGTTGTTGTACTTGTTCACGGTCACTCGTATCAGGTTAATTTTATTATTCTCTACATTTAGTTTATTTCTATCTTTGTTTTTAAAAAATGGTTGGATTCTTTATACTTGTTGCCAATCTATCACCCCATCTCAGCTATCTAGTTTCATACCCATACTGGTTTACGTAGTGTTCGCATCCTTTTCTCTATATTACTCTTTGCCCCCACTTGTAAAGCTGAGCTTGTGATCATTACACAGCACAACATCTCTAAACGTAAAGCAGCTAATGAGCTTGACTTATATTTCGGTCGTTGACCTCCATTATGTTTTCTCCACTATGACAAGTCGAGAGAAGACGTGACACTCTCATCTTACTCATGATGTTCAAAAGGCCCTCTTCGGCCAAATATCTCGGTCGTCTGAACGTTAACTTGGGCATACGAAATGCTTTGAACATGAATGGTTGAGCTTCTGAGTGGGAAGGGTCTTTTGTACTCAAATCTGCCTTGATTGATGTTTCTGCCTACATTGAGCTCTAGAATGGATGTTATGACATGAATATAAATCCCAGAGAAGTTCCTAGTGACATGCAATATCCTGAAACTATTACTACTATTCTCTGTAGCTACTTCACGTTTATTGTATTTTTCGCTATAACGAACTGACTTTATGCCAAATCTGTAAACCGTTGTTCCTATTCTCAACTACAGTTCATGCAAGACTTCATGCTATAGTGGTTTGAAATCCACATCTAGCAATAAGAAAATATATATTCTGTAACACGGTGACCGAAACCTTCTTCAAGGTTGCTGTATGTAATATTCTATTGTGATGTGCTCCGCTAAAGAGTCCGAGTGTCTGGGCTGGGCATATTTTGGACATGTAACAACCTCTGGCCAGGGGATGCTATTCAAGCTGCACCACAATTCTGTATCGTGGCATGGAGCAACTCCGATGCCACCTCGTCTGGGTCGCATCTGCTACTACCGAGGCCTGAGCAGAGTGGGGCCAAATTACACCCAAGTAAGTAAGCAAGTGACATCAAGAGTGCTCGGATCTTAGGAGGTCACGTACAATGGTCCAAGCATACTCGAGGAGCGAAGTGAATGTTACTGGAATTTGTATGCCACAGTCATTTTAAATTCGGCAACACCTTCTGTCTCCAATAGAGCGTAGCGGCTGCAAGACTTTCGTAACAGCTGACGTTGCTGCCATTCTGCTTTTTTCCATTTCCAAGCAAAGGAGAATGAAGCTTCGGGCGAGCTTTCGTTTCGTGTCTGCTCTATGCCGTACTCTCGAATGATTCCACCCCATCTTGTGTGTGGACGCAAACAGATGAAGCCCTCGGAGGATTCGATCAAGATTAACACCGGCTGTGTGTATGTCGACAGTCGAGAACACTCAAAAGTTGGCTTCAAATGAATGAGGCATCTCCGTGCACTACATGCCCTGTACGTAACGACTCTCAGACCATCCTCCTTCGGCGTGACATCGTTGCGGAGGTCTATCCTTTTGGCCTCTCCATTCTTTATGAAGATCATGTCTGCAAAGACTTCCGATATGTAAAAGAGGTCTGAAGGTCCCAAAGTCAATAAAGTACGCAATCTTTTCTTCGCTTTCTGCAAGTGAAGAAACAATAATATTTTGGGAGAAGTTCATGAAATTTACGAGTGACAACTTCGACCGTTTCTTTGACCATAACTGTCTCATGAGAAAAGTTATTCTCCAGCTTCCTGTTTTGAAGCTTTTAGAGGTATGTACTTCTTTCAAATGGTCACACATAAAAAAAAAACAAAAAAATCTTGGAGACACTGGTTAACCTTTGTTGCTACTTGGAATCAATTCATTCAAATCCCCACTTCCAGTCAAAGATAAGTTTTAGACTTAATTTCCAGATCCATACTCTAGCTAGTCTGTTCTCTCAATCCAATATATTTTTCTTTCAAAAAAGTTGGTGTCTTTTCCACACATTTCTCCTACAACATAGTCTTATGTTGATGACCATGTTGTAGAAGAATGTTGTGTTTAGAAAATTTAAATGGTCTGCATTGATCTGGTTTTATTCTGCTAAGATTTTTGGGATGATGGAACCTTTAAACAAGTATGTCACAACTGTTGTGCATTATCTGTAGTTTAAAAATGTTCTACTTTTGATGAAGTATGTCTAATATGTCCTTGGTCTACTTGTTTCCAACCTTCAAGCTTATTGTTTTCAATGTACTTGATGTTTCTCATGAACCAACCAAGCATCAGAGAAATCTACCTGTTCTGCTTGATGAGGTAGTCCCATCCATTTTGTTACTTTAATGTGGCCTTGTTGACTAAGAACATAACGGGAGATTTCGTGGCTTTAGATTCGACCTTTGATCTGCTCATCCTGAAGTAGTAATCGGCTCGAGGAAACTGAGGCATCAGCTTGGTCAACCGCCCGGAAAGCAGGCACGTACAGGTAACTGGAAGCTTCATCCGTTACTGGACGGTGCCAGATGGGAAACACGAAGAGAAGTATCCGAGCGAAGGGGTCAAGAAAGGAAACATTGGTCGAACCTGCAATTCGTTGTACATAAAATACCAAGGAGAAAATCTGCTTGAGTGAGAGTTACGATCAGCAGCATTCTTGCATGCCCGGATCTGATCGAGCGACACTTGCATGAACTCACTGCATGAGTTCATAGTGAAGAGACGTGTTTTATAACAGTGTTCCCAGTGAGGATCCTCAGATAAGTTACAGCACGAGCTCGAGCTCGACTGCAGTGCTTCGAAGGGTGAGCCCGTTCACCGGAGGTCCAGATTTATTCGTTCGTGTCGAGCTTGAAGACAAAGATTCCCGTTGTTAATTATACTGTACATGGCTTTACCTTTTGTCGGTACCAAGAGGAGTGAATTCTGTACGTGTTGACTTAAGAGTTTCACGTTGCAGGACCGTGTGTGCTCGAGCTTCAAGTTGGAAACGTCGTCCCGGTCGTCCCCATCTCACAGAGTCTTGGAGACTGTGGGCCTGTTGCGTGTGGTCGGGGATTCAGCTGTGCATCATCATGAGAGCCTTCACCCAAGAGACTCAGCTCACGTCCACACTCCCGCGAATAATACCCGCCACGAGGGAATGTCCTTTTCCCTCTCTACCCTGTACATCGTCAACCACGTACATGATTAGCGCCGTCTGTACATCCCTTTTTATAAAAAGTTACCCGTAGCGGCACTTTCTCAGTCCCCCTCTACTGCGTAGGGCGATGAGGGAACTTTTAAGAATGTAGTTTCTAAAAAATTACTCGATTTTTTTGGTAGGAAACTGAATTTTTCTTCTACCTGGGCAGTGGAATAATTTATAAGATGTACATCAATTACCGGGTCAATGAATGAGTCTGGATTCGTTAGATCTCCCGTGCACCGAGTAGGTCCCAGAGTAGGTTGTGGTTTTGTTGCAGGCGTTTATAGCAGAATCAGGGGCAATTCTCGCTTTTTCGAGCTGACAGGGTTTTTTTGGATGTGAGGTGTTTTTCTCTGAATTTGGAGGTCCTGCGGTATTAATGATGAAATCAACTTCTCCACGATCAGTACTCCTCTTTTTCACACCACCTGTTTGTCTTCGTTAGTCGACGCGGGGTGCTTCAATCATTGACAAAGCGTGTAGGTCAAAACGAACATCATTAGACTAAAAGTTGTTCACCAAAGAAAGGTCGAGCTGTGCAGTAATGTCCTGATGTATATTCATTACAATATTTCTATAATTACACAAATTCGCACAGTTATTCTCTGATGTGACCACACGAAATGCACGTTGGTCAGTGCTAAACCCTGCACATAACGTTCTGAATTGTTCCCCGAGGTTCAGTAACTTTTCTTAACATGCAATGAGTTTATCTGAAGCATATTGATTTTGTGTACAGTACACTCATTGTTGGATTGCGGCTTTGGGTTCTCGCAAGAATTTTCAGGCGGTAGCGATGAAGATGGTGTGACTCATCATTCTGTAAATCTTGGTAGATCTACGTATTCGAAATGATTCATAATGAGTGTACGAGACCCACAATTTTAAACAACTCTCAAGTTACAGATTTTGCACATATATCTAGAATTGAGGGTCTTTTTGACCGCTTCGATTTCGACCACACCATGTCCTTCCCACAATTTCAATCTCGGAGACAATATTTCCTACCTCGATAAAACACACGAACATCGAGACGTCCACTTGCATAGCATGTAATGACCATGCCATCGCGCTAGATTCTACTGATTTCGCTGTGTCTTTTGCTGAGCATCTACACCAGCTCGAGCTGCGAGCGTTTCAAGTCGGTAATTGTTCGGTGTTATGTTTTTACAAGGTCTGGCAGTCCGAACGACCACCTGCCCATATATAAGATTATTGTAAGCAGCTCTCTTATGAGTCAGAAGCCAGAACAACGATCGGACGAACTTGCAAGCGAATCAGTCATGAACGATCAGCTTCCAATTTCTCTCTAGAATTGCGAGGTCCTGGCTGATGGGTGCGGGCAAATTTCTCAGGTAGCTTCACCTTCATTCATGGTCTCATGTCGCCCTATCTCTGTCGAGCATCGAGGGACGACGCGATGAGCAACAGAGACTTGAAGGATCTGTTACGGTCCCCGAGGTCTTCTGGGAGATTCCCGACAGTGCGGGTCCGTCCGCCGTGGAGCGACTGCAATTCGAGAGGCACAGAATTCGAGCGACGTACAACTAGTGATGGTCTGATTGCTGAGCGATGAAATTTGAATCTCCTCCGAAGACGAGGTGTATGTACGAGTGCTCACTCAATAGACATTCGCAAACCTTCCTGCCTTCCCAAGGACCCTCGTGGCCGAACGGGGTTGCATTGTCGACCAAGCGAAGCAATTCCCCCCATATTTGGGGAATATCTCTCTGGCAGACAAAAGTGCAAACGGTGGTGGGACGGCCCATGATTCTACGAGCGCGACGATCAATCTCCAGAGAAGTAGTAGGAACAGAAGAAGGTGAAGTGCCACAGTCTTGACGTAATGCAGCTGCTGCTGAATTTAGTCACTGCGAGTTATTTGCGGGTGGGCCCCAGAGATCGAGAGGAATTGAGGACTCAACAGGCCCAGCACCATTCTCCATCCTCTTGGACAGACAGACAGTAATTCCAACCTGTAGCAGCCCGAGCCTACAACTGCAACTACATAAACACTCGGGCTGCAAGTCTGCTGATTGCGGACTCGCTAAAGCGGATCTACCGACACTCGCAGTCCCCGCGAAAGAAGACAGCAGGCGAGAAAGAGAGGGAGGAATTGCCAAGCTCGGAGCCCTTTTCGAGGAAGAAGCACAAGAAGAAGAAGAAGAAGCAGACGAAGAAGAAAACGTTTTGCATCCAGAAAACGTGGCTGAATACTGACTCACTGCCGCCAGTGTCAGTGCGAGCGCTAGAACCGAAACAGGCCTAGTTCGATTCACATGATTTGAATAATCTCCTCTCCTCTTCCAACTCCTCGTCTCTTCTTCTTTCCGGATTCAAGTCAAGTTAGAGAGAGATAGATTTGTAGACAAGACAACCGATCGCTTTTACGCTCTCGCGTTTTACCGACGATTGGATTGGGATGGCACGAGGCTAAAATCTATCTTGCCTTCGCCCCACCCCTACCCTCTCCTGTCGGTCTCCGTCCCTGCATGCCTCTCGTCCTGCGTGCCGTGTCTGTGGCCGGGCGGTTTTGAGCTCGATCGCCCCCGTGCTTTTGAAGACACAGACGTCATAGAAAAGTAAAAGCAAGGAAAGCTGAGCTGTAAATCTACTGGTCGGGAGAATCGAGTGTGGCCATCCACGAGTCAGCTGACAATTGGGTGAAGCTCGAGCCGGAGAAAGCTCGTAGAGATGAGGCGCGCTGGGAGTGATACTTTTCTTCCGACGATGGGCTCGGTATGAATGCTCTCTGCTCGTAGGTGACCATTTTATTTTACGCTTGCGGGTTTCACGCCCCGACCGAGATACATCTCTGAGATTCGACCACGTACCAATCTCATCCACGTTGAAGAGAGACCGGAGGCTTCTCAGTCACCTTGGTGCTGCCTACTCACTAAGCTCTGATTTGGCTGCAGGACTTCCGTGGCTTGTCTTGTCTTTCGTGTTTTGTCGCAGCTGAGATCAGCAGAAGCAGCAGCAGCAGCTGCAACCTTTTGGGAGTTTGGGGTGATCGATGAGAGTAGGTCTAGGGAACGTTCACAGGCGTTTAGCTCGTAAGAACAGAACCGAGTCTAGGAGATGAACATCTTGTGATGGGTAATTTGCGGGATGATTTGGTCGGAGATTGTTCTCCCTGCAGCTGCGCATCTAGGAATCGGAGTCGTCGCACTTTGAGGATTTTATAGGATTGTATCGAGGGAGAATTTTCGAGGACAGAGGAAGAAAACTCTTCAGCTTGGCGAGATCTGGTGAGCTAGAAGAGGCTGGCTTGACGACATCTGGTAGATGATGTCGCTGGCTTGTGGAATTCCTCTATTAGAATGTGTATATGTAGCCGGTTGTTTGAAATGGGGGTGGAAGAGGTGCGCTTACATAGGGGCCTTCGATAGCGACAGCTGGGATATTGCCAATTTTGAAGATTTTGAGCCCGTTCCTCGAATTTGCCGGATTATTTTGGCCGTTTACGAGGACGATTTGAGGCATCCGCAGTGGGCACCTGAGGGTGGGTATGGAATGAAGTTGGAAACGGTGGTGAAGAAAGTAAACTATGAGGAAACGGAGGGAAATGCCCCTCCTTACATCATTTACGTCGATCATGACAATCAGGACATCATATTGGCGATTCGAGGCTTGAACATGGGGAAGAACAGAGACTACAGGACACTGCTGAATAATAGGCTTGGGCGAGAAATGTTCGATGGAGGGTATGTGCACCACGGGCTACTCAAGTCTGCTGCCTGGCTGCTTAACAAGGAGTCTGCCACCCTCGTCGAGCAAATCGAGAAGTACCCATCGTACACTGTTACTTTCGCTGGTCACTCCCTGGGATCAGGAATCGCCGCCTTGATGACTCTTGTCGTGGCAAAGAACAGAAGTGCTCTGGGGAACATCCCCAGGGAACAGCTGCGGTGCTTCAGCATTGCCCCAGCTCGGTGTATGTCTCTAAATCTGGCTGTACAATATGCAGACATCATTCAGTCTGTAGTTTTGCAGGTACGATCATGATCTCAGCTGAAGCTGATTGGGTAGCAATTCATGGACTCATCTCTTTCGTGCTTTTTTCATGAGAGTTGAGATCTGTCTTGTTATATCAAGCCTCTCTTCTGGTGTGATGGATTTGTGACCATGCCCTTCGCTGTTCTTCTTCTCTTTGTGCAAAGTGGCGTACTTTCACTTTTCTAAGCTTCCGTCTATGAATTCACAGCTTCTCATAGTTTTTCTTCCACAGGATGATTTTCTTCCCAGGACTGCAACACCACTGCAAGACATTTTTGGTGCTATTTTTTGGTAAGCTCTCTCACACTAGGCCCGACTCTCAGTCCGGCTCCCACTTTCCACATCAGCTTTGATTTTATTCCTCTTTGCTCGGGTACATTGTGGATCTGGAGTGAGCGATTTCTTTGCTTTACTATTTTGTTGCAGATATCCACTACAGAATTGTTGTATTATCCTGAGGAAGATAGAGATGGTCATTTCTAGAAAACAAACTGGGTTTTAAAAGATTCCTCCCAGCAGTTGTCAGTATCTATTAAATTTCAAATATAGGTTTTCGTCGTGTACTGATTGTGTAATCCTTTCCTCTCAACTCAATTCATACTCATGATTTCTTGTTAATGGGGAGGGACAAGAAAAGTAGTATTATAGCGCTAGGATTGGCGTTCGTTGAAATTACATCTGTAGGCTATGATAGGTAAGTACTTGAGTATAGTTGGTTGATCAAATGAATGGAATTCAAAGTCTACAAAGGTTTTGCTCTCTCAGATGGAGGACATTGACATTTGGAGTGAGGGTAACCATTTTCTTTGCGTAATCGTGCTTCCTGTGCTGTAATCGTGCAGTTTGCCATGCGTGATGTGTTGTAGATGTATGATAGATACCTGCACGTCAGAGAAGAAGAAGCTGAAGGACCCAAGAAGACTGTACGCACCAGGAAGGATGTATCATATTGTTGAGAGAAGATTTTGCAGGTGTGTACGTTTACTTTTTCTCGATCGGTTAGTTCGTAGTCTTCGATTAAAAGTTTCAATTGTCCACCACATTATTCCTGTGCTTGATAAGAGATCACTATTACGCACGTTGTCTTAAGTTATTTCCCTGTGTCCACTCTATCAGAAGCCGGTTGACAGCTCCTACTCTAGCAGAACCTGGATGTGAATCTAAGATCTTTGGATGTGAATCTAAGATCTTGCCTTTGAGCTACTACGTCCCTCCTATATCAATTTTACTCTGGTGACCTGCAATACCTATCATATACCATTTTAATTTCAATTGAGTTTGCAACTTGTCTCTAGAATAAGTCGCCTCAGGTGCAGAAAATTTCTTGTTGGGATTCATCCTTGAACCCAGTGCCCCTGGGAACTTCCCAGCATATTCCCGGTGCATTTCTTGACAATTTCTATTTTGAGTAAACTTGGCGAATGGTGTTGGAAGCAAGATTTCGGTACCTAAGCCCGGATCAGTGCTAATGTTTACTTCTTTCCTCTTCCTGTACAGCTGTGGCAGGTTCCCACCTGAGGTGAGAGCGAGCGTACCTGTTGATGGGCGATTCGAGCACATTGTCCTGTCATGTAATGCGACTTCTGACCATTCCATTATAGAGATCGAACGAGAATCTCGAAAAGCTCTTGAGGTATAAATTATAAAACATCCGTAAGACCTTCGAGATCATAATGTGAAGATCAGCCTTTTTGAAAGTTTATGTGTGACCAGTTGTTATAATGCCATTTGTCTAATTCCAACTCTTCACAGATACTGAAGGAGAGCCTTATGGAGGTGCCATCGACTCAGAAAATGCAGAGACAGCAAAGTATCGCGCAGGGTCATAAGGATCAGTATAAGGCCGCCTTAGAAAGAGCAGTCACGCTCAAAGTTCCGCATGCGTTTTCACCATCAGATGATACGATCGAAGAGGGAGAGACAGATGAAAACGCCATCCTGATTGATGAGAACGGCAACCCAGTGCCTCCGAAGGCAGAGGAGAATCCTGTAGACAGTGGAACTGCAAAAAAGACCACCAACTGGAACGTTCTTGTTGATCGGCTTTTCCATACGAGTAAGTCTGGACGGTTTACCAGGAAACCCCACGAGAACAGACAACCCTTACTTTCATGACATCAAAGTTCCAACCTAAATGAAAGCCCTCGAGATTGAAGGGAAGGCATGAGCAGCATGATTATTAGCATTTCGAGCTCCGTGAGGCTTACCTCCTCAGTCTGTGCATTGTATCAAAGAGAAAGTTTAGTTTTTCATAAACAAATTAGTGAGTTTTGGAAGACGCTACATAGTACACAAGTCTTTGCTGACAGTCCAATGGGAAGCACAGGAATGGGGAAAGATTCTTCTACGAGCAGCGGAGAGCAGGTTATAATCGAGCTGAAAAGAGAAGAGCAAAGATCCAGCTCTTCGAAGGAGGAGAAAGTGAACGGTAAAAGTTGAATGGTATGTTCCACCATGTGCACTGGACAGAAAATTGGGTGGCAGTCGTTGTTACCCATATATAATCATTATAATCAGATTTTTTGTGAACATACACTGTTAGATATTAGATCAATCATATATCAGTTGACTTGTACGAGCTTTGGATACCACACTGGTGTTCGGCAGTGAGGCCAGGCAAATTTTTGTCACCCCTACTAAGGAGCCTGTTGAGGCATGGATTGTACAGTTATTGACGTGGTTACGCATAAGGAGGAGTTTTAATTTCAGCCAGAATGTTGCTGGCTTGTCACTCAGTTCTCTACCACCTTGTCTTCAGCGTACATCGACTTGAAGCTCAGCCTCTCCCTTTCCGTTGTGTATATATATGCATGAATATATGAGTTGGCGATAAGTATCTCGTCACGCGCATTTTGACTCTAGCTGTCTGTCAAACTTCACGGATCTTATATCTGTAGGAGATACAGGCATGCCATTACACGCATCAGCCAATACCCACATTACTCCCAGGCGTGCAGTTGCTCGCTTTCGCTGTGGGAGTGTGACCTTCGGAAGTTGATACAGCAGTATGGATGTGCATAGCTAAAGAACCTAGCACTTGCAGGCGTTTTGATTGACACCAAGTGGATGTTGTGGAACATCAATTTTACGAAGTGTTCTTCAAGTCTGGAAATGAGGAGAAGATTTCAAGATCTGAATCATATGAGGTCCTGTCAGCGTCTCACTCTTTATGACCTAGTCGAAGAACAACTGTAGGAATGTTCAACATAGCACGGGTTAGAAAGGACTGACTGAACTTTTCAGGCCTGTGTTGGCATTCTTTTCCTTCATCTCTTCGTTTTGGTTCTAGTTATCTTGCTGAACCTACAGAGGACCTTAAAAGCACGAAATACGACCCTTTGCCTCAATCCTTGCCAGAACATTTCTTAGTGGTTGTGTTATTTCAACGAGGTCCTTCATAGAGGTGATCATTACTAGCTGCCTTTTGAACGAATATTCGGGCAGGACTATTCGTTTGCTGTTGAGCATTTCGTCGCTTGACTGTATTCTGCTCAATTGCTTCGTTTGATCCTGACTGTAGTTATTGAGCTGTTCAGCCAATTGTTTTGAAGTAAATCGTTCAAAAAGTGGTGTGAGGATTCATTCGCTGTGAAGGATTCTTCCCTTTAAAAAATCTTCTCTTCGAAATTCAAACATGTTACAAGAGTTTAGTTTAATTGAAGGATTTCTGGTTTGTCTACTGTACAGGACAACGAGTCGTGCTGCCGAGGCTTACCAGTGAAAGGACGAAACAAAGCGTATCTTCTGGCGCATCTGCCTCTTAACCTCGAGTGCCTAAGATTTCAAATACCAAACCTTTAGTGTTCGATTTTTGTGCTCATTTATGCCTGCAATTCCTACATTATCGTTGCCAGGACTTCGATTTATGAGCTGCAAAGCTTCTGACTGGTGGATACTGTATCATACTGCATATATGCTTTTCCATATCATGATCAACGCGTTTGTGTAGGATACTATCGATTGATATCTATCGAAGAGAATCAAGCTGAGTTCCCTGATGGAAGTGAAACGTGAAGTTGATGAAATTTTTTTAAGTACATCAAGTTGGAGCTCATGGAGCAAGTGGTGCAAGCCTGAATTCAACTGCTTGTTACTCTGACATTTGTACTCATTTTATTTCTGAAATTGGAAATTTGAGTTTGCCGACGCGCAGGAATATTATGTCATTCCTTTGCAGAAGTATTGCTGAAGTATACAAATAAGACAGTACCAAGACATTTTACGTCTCACGGATCAATCATCTGCCAAGTGTGTTCTTATAATTTTAACACCAGTAGTATCTTTGTATTTTTTTCACATCTATCAAGCTCTGTATGAATGCACAAAGTGACCTACGAAATGCAATGTCAAATTAGCGTAAGAAGCAAGTCCTACGTCTACTTCGAGCAATCAAGCAACCTCGCCCCGTTCCAAATTTACCTCCTGCAAAGTCTTCATAGCGTTTGGCTTTTAAAAGGAACGAAAATAACAACAAACACAGATGTTCTTATTTCCTGAAAGAATTGAAGGACTCTCTGTCATACTTTATCGTACTAAATGATTGTTGGGTGGGGTGGCAAGGCACACGTGCTGTACAATTGGCAACCAAGACGTGCTCTCGACTGTTAAGAAGTGGCGTTCTCAAGTGGCACATAACATCTACCAACTGCTTTTCACCAAAGAGTCCCCAGTCTGGCTGATATAACTACTCACAGTGTTGTCTGCTTTCAGCAACTACTCTTTGCCCCTATATCCCCTGCCCCATATCACAGATCTTGAGGATATTCAAATAGTAGACCTTTTTTTTAAGCCCAAGGAGTGACTCTCGTACGCTGTACATAGTACAGTAATCGAAAACTATCTTGAGTCAATGAGTCCCAGTCTGACGGATTTGACCGCATTGACAGTGTTTACTGGTTTCGTCTGCCCAGATGACAGAGCTTGATTCCATTTCTGTGTGCCAAGTGAGAAGGCAAACGCAGAGCGCAAACTAGGACCTGCTCCTGAGGAGCATGAAACCGTTTAAATTTTCAGGAGCACAGAAATGACGAGAGGTGCAGGGTGGTCAGAACTGCAAAATATGTCTTACACGGAATAGAGTGCAGTGTAGATGCTCACTGAACACGTCGAAGCTTCATTTGTCGCTGTGCTTCTCTGCCCTTTCAACTAATCTATCTTGAACACATGTACCAATCGGGACTTCGCAGCTGGAAATTGCTGTCAGTTTCAGTAGCCTAGCTCCCTTTCCTCAGACTAGGTTTTTTCGAACTGCTGGACCCTGATGATGACGCAGCTCTGCTCACACTAGCTTTCTTTGGACTCACAGGCTCTGAACTGCTACCCCCTGCTCTCTGAGATGGCCTAGCACCTCTTGGAGCAGAATGGCTAGGAGACGATGGCTCATTTGGACTGGCTCCTTGACTTTTACTTGCCCTCGAGATACTCTTCGGAGCAATGCTTTTCTTGATACTAGAACTTTCTGGAACTCTACCAGGATTCCACTCGGATTGTTTTCGCTTGGTGTCCGACGTTGTCACCCCAGAAAATCTGGGGCTTTTACTGCCCTTAGTGGATAGTCTGGAGGGACTTCTGGAAGAGGATGCTCCCGAATCGTTTCCAGAAACTGCAGACTTGGAGGACCTTGGGCTTAGACTAATGCGAGGTGATTTTCCACCATCGACTGCTGCTTTAGAAGCCCTTGAGCGCAAACTTGCTCGTGGTGAATCCTCGTCCGAGTCTGCACTTGCTGCACTTCTACCTGAATGTGCTGCTTTAGAAGCCCTTGATCTCAAACTTGCTCGTGGAGAATCCTCATCAGAGCCTGCACTTGCTGCACTTTTACCTGAATGCGCTGCTTTAGAAGCCCTTGATCTCAAACTTGCTCGTGGAGAATCCTCATCCGAGCCTGCACTTGCTGCCTTTGAAGCCCTTGGACTTGAACTCGCTCGTGGAGAAAGTGAGGTCTTGGACGACCTCGGACTCAAACTTGCTCTGGGTGATTCCTCGCCCGGAACTGCCTTTCTAGCCGATTTTCGACTCAAACTTGACCTCGGTGAATCACCGCCAGAACCTGCAGTCTTAGACGACCTTGAGGTCAAACTTGTCCGTGGGGAATCCTGGCCTGGAACTGCACTTCTAGCCGATTTTCGACTCAAACTCGACCTCGGTGAATCATCGCCAGAAGATGCAGTCTTAGAAGACCTTGATCTCAAACTTGCACGTGGAGAATCGTCACCGGAGCCTGCACTTAGCGACTCTTCTTCAGAATCTGTTGCTTTGGAGTCCCTCGGGGTTGAGCTTGAAGCTTTAGAAGATCTTGGGCTCAAGCTCAGTATGCGCGACTTCTCCCTAGACACTCCAGCTTTAGAAGGCCTTGGACTCAAACTGGCCCGAGTTGGACTATTATCACCGGCAGATGAAACTTTTGAGAGCCTTGAGCTGGCAGGGGATTTGGGTGAAGCAATTAAGCTAGTAGAGTTTTCATCCGAGCCGTCGTCAGAGGGTGCCAGCTTAGAAGACCTTACGCTTGATCTGGCACCTGTCGATCCTCCGCGAGTGGACCTTTTTGTTGAACTTAATCTTGTGTTGAGAGATTCTATGGAATCGACAGAGTCGACCGATCCAATTGAGCTGTCGTCATCCGACGTTTCGTCAGCTGATGATTCTCCGTCGGACACCGGAGTAATGCTTCTAGCCAGGCTGCGCCTCAGAAGATCCTCCTTCGATTTGGCCTCCACTCCGAGTTTGGAGAGTCGTGGAGGAGATAGAAGTGCACTTGATGGCTTCTTAGTAACGCTTAACTTGGGCAGAAGCCCGGTCGGTCGCTTCTTTGGGGCACCATCTGAGTCAGAATCGTCTCCAGCACTCTCGTCGGGTTTGTTTGCGCCCGATCCTGGAACTGCAGGCTTTTCATCACCCAAAAGAACATAGCCACATGCGCCAGATTGCAGAGAATTGAACAGGGGATTTATGGAGATTTCGTATGACTGATCTTTAACTTTGTAGCCCTGTTTCTCCGGAAGACAACCTCCCATGTCCAAGCTCTGATAGTCAAGCACCATTTGCTCAACATCGTCCAGCTTTCGGGCCAGGCCAAGCACCTTCGCTGTGGGTATAATGAGGGAATCCCCATCAGGTCCTACAGCTCTCGTCAATCCAAACTTCTTCCCTCTTTCTGATGAGCCCTAACAATACATAAAGGAGCTTCAGATCCAGTCACTAGTTGTAAAAGTATGTGCACCCTCGAGTTCAGGTCTCGAGTGTAGATGATGAACTGAGCTCAAAGTAGCAGACTTCTACAAAAGTCGAATTGACTATCAGCTACTGACAATCGGCTTCTGCTCGACCACCAAGGCTGACATATAATTACAGGAAAGAAGGTTGACTAGAATGCGAGATATGTAGGTACCGGTTTCAGGGATGACCTCCGTTGACGTGATTGCGCTTTTTCCAAAAGATTTTTTCTGCGTCTGACTAGTTTTAGTTTCCACCAACAGAATCCCCATACAGCTCCGATGCTAATGAAGAGAGTTGCTAGAGGTGTAACCACGTATACGGGCAAGGGTACGGCAAAATTCTTGACAGCTGCAGATGCAATACACTGTACTTATTACTCTGAAACAGTAAGTCTTCACTTGAATACTTTTTTCATGCTCGACTTGTTACAGTCAGGAAGATGCTTGAAATAGTCTACTCAAGAGAGAATTAAAGATCCCACCGGTGATACCATTGCATTTATGTCCAGGATTCACTCAATCCTGACGACATGTTGTGTAAACAACCTGCGTTCTTATTTTTCTGATACAGGTAGTCACGTAGTCAGTGATTATTTCCAGAGGTTGGTCTTAATTGTCTACCGACAACCGTGGCGTAGATACATGCAGGAAGAAACGAAGCTTATTGAGCGGCCTTATTGAACAGGAGAGTTCTGTGTTGCGAACTTTGAGACACTTTAGCTGCGCACCAAGTCAGGAGACATACAAAGTCTCTGTGCCTATTTCAGATCTTTCAGCTTAAAACTTGCAGAAAAAGATGCAAGCACAAGAGAACGTTTTAGACTGCAAGCTATCGATCAAAACCGGCTGAAGATGAAAATCCATGCCAACTATATCATGGGATCAATAAGAACGGGAATATGTACAGAGGACGACTTGTTGAAGACATAGGGGCGTGCCACTGAATCCTCACTTTTGTTTTGGTTGTTCAGATCGAGGCCCGGAGGTAATGTTATATTGAGCGCTGATGCATTTACAACCTCTGTTCCGTCTGCTCGCCATTCCAAGTCCAGCAAAATGCACAACACCAGAATGGAGATAAAGGAACGGCCAGTGAACGTGAACCTGACACACCTCAGGTCATTTGTTTTAGGTTTAGAAGGCCATGCATGCTGCAGTACGTCGTGCTGTACCCAGATGCCCCGTACTCGAAGCTACAACAAAATACCCATTTTAGGCGTTAAGGTGGTTGCTGATCCCGGTGAGATAACGACGGTACTTTTTTCATCCAGATGCATGAAACTGATAATCCCGATAAATGCAATGTTTGATATGTGATGATCACAAGGAGTGCACCTTGTGTCCTCCTGGTGATCAATTTCATAATTGACTGATCTCCGGAGAGAACGAAGGAGGACAGAGAAGGTATAGCTTCTCCAGCCAGGAAGTACAGAGGAGAAGTCCGAGATAAGAATTTTAATCAAGAATTTCAGTTTCGTGGCTTAAAAGATTATTACGACGTGCTGGGAATCCACACCTGTTTTTTACAGCTTCCGACTCCAGCATACTGTTCACCCAGTCGCTCCAAGGCCGAGTGGCCATGCTCATTTTGTACTCAGAACGCGAAACTCTCATCAATACTTTTCCATATCCTTGTGCCATATTGAAGGCTTATGACATCTGTGAAATTAGCCATCTGAATCATAGGAACGTTCCAAGATCATGGGACGTTTATGTTCTTCCGACATTGCGTGAAGCTCACCAATCTGCTTCTGCTTTAAAAAGAAGCGACCAACTTCTTTCCCACCCTTTTTAGCACTCCTGTCTCCAGAAGTTCGGGAGTCGTGCTCCAACGACGTGCCAAAGTCGCCACTGTTGCCACTTGATACAACGCTTTCCGATCAGGTCGCGAACCGAAGTGTCTGATCCCGACACCTACTGCCGAGAATATTTGAGTCAACGTCTACTTCTTCCCGCTTGACTTCTGGTCCAGAAATCAGAAAGAGGTAAACCTCACGATTTAACCGTCTACACAAAATCAATTTGCGATGAGCGTACCTCTCTCTCTCTCTCTCTGACCTTCAGGTCCAGAAGAAAATACTGTTGTTTCAGATTCATGGATACAATTGGACTGGAACTGCCCACGGCATCGTCGAGTTATCGTACATCTTATCTGTTCGTTTCCACATTCCAAGTTCACACTGAGATGAGACATTCGGAAGCCTCTGCCGATAGCTCAAGCATGCGGCCATAAAAGTGGCTTGCATGTTGTGTAGACTTCAACAACTAAACTACTGATTACATCCACTTTGCACCCTACCCATTTGCACTTCCGAAATCGCTTGAAAGGGCTGATCTGGGATCTGGAGACTCCATCAAACTGCTATAAGCGCATTAGCATTTCCCATTTCTAGCACAATGTATGGAAATAGGTACGATAGGGAGGTCTCCATAATGAACAGCAGTGCTCTCTTCGTAGCTCAATATCTTTCTTGATCGAAGAACTGGTGCTCTGTGCCGAGTGCAACATTCAATGCGATGTCAAAATTGATGTGGGGCCGTGGAAGCGTACGTACGATCTCCAACAACAAACGAGGGCCAACTGTATTAAATCGCTGTCATGAGATAGACGCAGTAAGTGCGGGCTTGATGGCCTCCTTGAGTAGCCTGACTACGGTTCATCGATCCCCCCTGGATCAGAGTCGAGCACTGGAGGCCTGTCGCACAGGGCGGTCCAACCACGTCATCATTCGTGGACGATTCCTGGTTCCTGGGGCCCAAATTCGAAGCAAAAGTGGCCTGTCAGAGGGAAACCCGTACAAGAATATACGCCGGGGGATCGTCAACTATGCTGCTCGGCTGTGGAAGCGACTGCGCAATTCGGACGTCAGCGGATTCGCATGCAGCAGGCAGGCTGCTGCTGGCTCAGGCACATGCGCTCGTACTGTTCTGTGTGATGAGCTCGTTGTTAATTGTGGCAGCAATTCTCAGGAAACGAAATTCGTCCGAATTTCGTTTCCAGCTTGTCGGGAGTTGAAAGGTCCTCCCAGAGAATTTTACAACTCTCACGCCCCTCCCTCCCTCTGCACCGTACCGGCAGCAACAACTTTTCCTGCTTCTGGACGGTACAATGAATGTCTGAATTCTGGTTTCCATAAGTGTTTTGATGTGCCAGGGGGTTGACAACACTGCCATATTCCTTTCTGGCAGTCCTGAAAACAACTGAGTTACGAGGAAACATTTCATGGTTATTATCGAGGTTCTGGTAGATTTGATTCTAAAATGATCACTCTGTCTGATGTCTTTCGCACTTCCGATCTCTCAAAACTATTGAATTTAAAATTTGGGGCTATTTCAAAAACTCTACTGGACTTCAACGTAAAAAGTTACTATGTAAAATCTAAATAATACGTTCAGGTGAATTTCGTGGAACGTGTTCCAATACCGTAGATATTTGTATGGATATCTCTCCATACCAAACGCCCCAATCCCAGTGGTTTATTCGGAAGATTCATAACATTCTTTATGGGATCCCAATCAAGTAACATGATTACCATGTAGCATTTGCTATTGAAAGTTTCTTATTCATCATAGTTAATCTTGATTTTATGAGTACTGTGTAATTTTTTTCTAATTTGTTATCGGTTACCATCATAAGGATTTTAGACCTTCATGGATTATAGCAAAGAAAGTAAAGAATTTTGATGTGTGATCTGATGATATATCTTTTTTTTAGCAATTAATGCATATCTATGAGCAACATTACAAAAAATTGTTCAGAGTTCAAGCTTAAAAGTACAGTTTGACATCACCTCTTTGCCGAAATTGAATAAAGGTGGTAAGGATTCATACACCGATGATGGATATATGTTGCATCGTCCAATTTTGTATTACGAAGGGTTTTAAGAACAATATGCGGTACATATTTTTTAATTATATGAATTGAAACTGTTATTTTGTACACAAATTTTGAAGGAAAAAAATTTCAAAACTTTTGTTTCATGATTTTCAAAAATTTTAATTGTAATTCTAAACTTCGAAAATAGATGAATAGTAAGTGTCAAACGAAAAAAAATCTATACCATGTATTGCAGTATCCCCAAAGTAGTTCAAAATCCATACTTTTGGTAGCAATCCATTTTCTGGTCACGTTGAACAGAGGGATCGCGTCAATTCATCGAAAAATCGACGTCGTTGTCACTGTGCAAAGACAACGTAACGATATTGTGGAGCTTACAGTGACGAAAACCTTCCCCGCCAGTCTGCAGTCGCGAAAGAACTAACGAGGACCGGGTAAAGTTGTGAGTCGACAGGTCGGAGACCCTCGGCCCTACCGCGAATAGACCCGAACCGATCAGCGGGAGCAAAGATCGCTTGCCAAGAATGACCATCGACCGGTACCGTCGAAAGAGGCGAGAAGACGAGACTTCGGAATAACGACCGTACTTCGGTCGCCTCAGTCACTGCGTCGACCCAGGGGTTCTCGAGCGCTGCCTCTCGTCGCGTCCGACGCTGTGAATCTCTTATCCACTATATTCCCGAGTTATTCATCGGATCCGGTGAACTGGTGTTGAATCGGGTTTTGGCAGTGCAGTGTGCGCTGCCTGTACAGAACACCACAGCAGTGCACTGCAGGGACGAGGCCCCGTGCCAAGTCAGAGTCACATGAGCCAGATCAGAGCGGGGTCTGAGCCCGGGCGGAGGCCCCATACATAACCGGATGCCTGGCATGCCGAAGACGGAGAGGGTAGTTGAGGCTCGTCTTCCGTGGGTTTGTGCTTGGGCCTGGCGGTGAAGAACGGCAGGCAAGGGAAGGGAAGGGAGCGAAGGCGAGGGGAGGGAGAGAGAAAGACAGAGAGAGCTTTGGAAAGGAAGGGCGACGAGAGAGAGATCGTCAGTGCGAACGGGGAATTTGCGGGAGGTGCGGTGCAATCGCGTGCGAGAGGGGGCGACGGTGAGGCTGAGGCTGAAGGTGAAGGAGCGCCATGGCGGAGGCTGGGCGAGTGCTGATTACTTTCGACGTGGATGGAACCTTGATGCAGAGTTTGGGCGAGAATGCCAACCTTTTGCACAAGAGGGCGTTCTCGTACGCCTTCGAGGAGGTGTTTGGCATTGTGGGAACCATCGACGCCATCAAGGTGGGTCTCCACGGGAAGTCTTGTTTGTTTCCAATTGAATCTTTTCTTCTTTCTGGGAGGTGTCGTTTTACATATGGACGAAAATTTGGAGGCAAATAGTGGATTTTTGTTCCCGTCTGGCGCCAACGTGTTAGAGAAGGCTTGTCTTTGATTACATACGGCCTCTTATAACTGTACGTAAGGCAGATCACTTGCAATCCATTGAGGATGCAATCCGATTTTGTTTTAAGGGATTGGGTGCCCGATTCAAAATTGAAAACTCAGCCGTGCATCTGTTGCGTTTGACTATTGCAGCATCATGGATCCACGGATCCCCTTGTTCTTATCAACACGTTGGAGTACTATGGCATTTCTACGGATGTGAGTTTCGATTACAAGAATTGAGGTCTCCGTCCATTCGCTGAAGTGCATCGTTCTTATTGGTCCAGGAGTTTGTAAATTTCTTTCTCTGGTGCCCTCTTCAATCCAGCAGTCGAGAAAGAACCTTGCGATTTGGGACTAGGGCAGATCTCAGTGAACCAAATCCTCGGCCGATTGTGGCACTCTCGATTTGTGCGATCACTTTTGCATTAATTGAGGATGCCCGCGTATCTCAACCATTCTGTGGATGTATACTCCGTGTGTAGCACGTCTATCAACTGAGGCCCAAAACGTGTGCTTACAGTTATGCATCCAGAGAAGCACGGGCATGAGTTGATTCGTTTCTGTTACAACAGACAGCCACTGTCAGACTCCCTGAGTTGAAGGAGAAGATGCTCGAGTACGCAAGAACGAATGCCGACCAAGTTGGAGAGGGTTTGGAGTTGCTGCCAGGAGTGAAAGAGCTTCTGCAGGCTTTGGCCGAGCGCAAGAATGATGTTGTTGTGGGATTGGTGAGTGCTTGTCTATTGCCTCTTGTTTTCTTCTTTCCGTGTTTCATGAACTCGATTGTCCATATGGTTTCCTTATTACTTCTGTGTCATCTTCTTGCAGGTAACAGGCAACTTGGAAGAAATAGCTTGGCTGAAGATGGAAGGTCTCGGCATCAAGTCATATTTTTCAGTTCCAAATTTCGGCGGGTTGGTTGCTCTTTCCAGTTGCCTCATGTATCATTCCAGATTTTTACATCTGAGTCGGAACTCCTGTCAACCCCAACAACTCAATTGCCATGCCTGAGTTTCACACTGAATGGGAGTTGTGATCTCAATGTCGCCGACGTGCTTGGTAATCTTCCTAAAGCTAGGCGTCAGTTGGTTGGCGGCAAGATCTTAATCTTGATTCCCAGTAGACCTTGCACGTCTACTCGACTCGTTAGTGTCAGTTGATGTCTACACTTTTCAACCTTGACCTTTGATCAGATATGATTTAACAATTGGAAGTTTGGAATTGTCTGCCGTCAGTGCCTAGTTGGGCCTTACATTTTGGGTACACAAAGGCACGTTGTCGGATACATCCTGATCAACAATTTGAAGACTTAGCTTTCTATGACCACAATTTCTGGAAGAGATTGTGCTCTAATCAGATGTTGGCCCTGCAGATTTGGTAGTGACCACAGCGATCGTGGAGAGCTGGTCAAACTTGCCTGTTCAAGAGCTGAAGCTTTTTATCCCGGAGAATTTTCCTTGAGAGTGCACGTTGGAGATACAGTTGAGTTTCAATCCTGTCACATGGGCAGTGCCCTTTCGATTTTTTTCGCATTAAACTACCTCTTTCACACATGTCGAACATGTTAAGCCTGAGAGTAGAAAGAGTTGAATCTATGCAGAATTTCTGACTCGGAGGAAACCTGCAGTCTAACCGAGCTTTGTCCTTCAGCAGCATGTGCAAGTCCTACAGACCGTTGAGATGTATCTGATTTTTTCTGCTCTGTTGTATCGACTTTATGACAGCCAAGTGATATACGCGCAGCAGAATATGGTGGGACTTTGGCTCTCGGAGTGTGCACCGGCGTGTTTTCCAGGGATGATCTCCTTGCTGCAAGTGACGGCACTGCAATTATCCTGGAAGACCTCAAAGACTCAGGAATTTTTTTCAAGGCCTGCAACATAACCTGAGAAGGAAAATGTTCTCATATTGTGGTTCAATTTTGCATAATCCTATGAAAGCCCAGTAACCTGAAAATTGGGCACGAGGGGCACGCATATCACATTGTGTAAAGTTCTTACGAAATGGCTGGTGTCAACAATGGTATGGCGTGCAATTTTGGTTCGTGACACATACATCAAACCAAGGAACGACATCGAGCGGATTGTAGAACGCTTCCCATACAAGCTGATTAGAGTACCAATCTTTCAGGCATCCGCCCTCAACAGAGACATTTATAATTTCAATGTACATCTCTGATGATAGACTTTTCTCCAAGCTTTGCATAATAAAAAGGTATCATCCCACATTTGACTTTCATGTATACGATAGTGCGGAAGGAAATTTCAACATATTGTTCTCGCACTACACAAATTTGCATCACTGACTGCGATGCCTAATACTCAACCAGCTTCAATTCGTATGCCTGCCTACATCTGCTGAGTACAACAATCTTTCAGGCGGAGGGAAACACCACGACCATCCATGTGTGACGAACATGACCATGGACACTTCCAGGGATTATTCTCCACTCCCGCTCACAAAGCAGATACACTTCTGACGAACTTCCATTGCACACGTCTTCTTAATTTGAAAAGTAATCGTCTGGAGGCAAGTTTACACCTATACAGCAGGGAATACGTAGAAGAAAAATGTCTATTGAGAAACTTACATACATGTCACGTACCCTTACGCCCAAAATCCATCGGCCATGCAAGAAACTTTGCTTAGCGTCGAGTAACGACCGTCTGGCCCCTGTACGATTGGAAAGCTGTGGTACGAGAGACCAGTTCGATAGCACAATCACGTGCATGGAGTCCCTGCATTGCTCCGAGTCGTAGGACAATCGTATCGCTGCCGTCTGTAATCCATACTGCACCTCTTCAATGCCAATCCTCTTTCACCCGTACAGTCGCCCGCAATCAATGGAAAAAGAGAAAATGTTGCACTCAGAAAATAACATCTTCCGCGATTGATGGAGAAATAGGAGATGTAGTACCCGCAGAAATCACACGTTAAAATCATCTAGTCCAGCTCAGACTGCATTTCTCACTTCCAACTAGGTCAAACAGTGAGACTACGTGAACAATCGTCTTCTCGCCATGAATTACTTAGACAATTTGTATATTTCCATAGTTACAATAGTAACTATGGGAATCGATATGGTTTCTGACCACCCTTTCGTCCGATTTTGGAACACTCCCGCTACACTTCCTCAACACGGTAGGCACAATCACCGCACTGTTGTGCTATGAATATGCACATTGAAATGATGAATGCTAGAAGACTTTTCGACCGCATTGTGACCCTAAGTTGATAAGACAAAAACGATGTCTGCATCTTTAAGATTGCAGTAAAGTGATAGCCTTGTTATTTATATTACTCAGGGCTCCCTCAGCAAGAAAATGTCCTTCTATGGACCGCCTTGTAGCTTTCCATGGGTGATAGTACAATCAATTGAAATCTGTCTACTTGTAACTCAGAACCTCACCCAACAACGGGTGCATTGAGCGACGCAGTCGCCCTTGCAATCTACATTGTAACCAAGTACCTGCGGTTTTCGAATTATCAAATTCTTCAGAGTGTTTCCTTTTATTCCCCACTCTTTGTCTAAAATGCCAATATTGGTTTCTATTGTATCTATACAATTTAAAAGTTCTGGGAATTTTTTCACCACTGCTGCCAACTGGTCATCTGTAAGGCCAGTGCTTTTCGCCAAATCCATCACGGTTGAGATAGTTTTCACCTCTGGCATTGTTTGCAGCATTTCTTCTGTCCAATAAGGTGAGTGGACCCAGCCGAAAGCCTTGCCAAGAATCTTGTCTGTTTCCTCAGAGTCGAATCCCCACCCCTCCAGGTACTTGCTTGCCTCTACCCATTGCTCAAGCTGTTGAGCAGTCAGTTCCTCTCTGGCAAACTTCACTTTATTCTTCACTCCTTCCGTTGCCTTACAAGTAGTTGTGTGGTGATTCGATCGGTACGTGGACAAATGAAATCCAGTAGTTCGCTCGGTGTGAAGTCCATGCCTAGTTTTCAACGTGTATCTTGACAGTAGTGACTTGTCGATGAAGCTCAATTCCCTTGCAAACTTGCGTCTAGAAGCAGGTCCTGTGTCCTACGGACAGCGAACAAAAATCGTTACCAAATTCACATTTTAGTCTCTCTTTCTATCGTAAAATGCAACCAAACAAAGGCGGTTTTAACTGAAAAAAACTGACTTTAAATTACCACCCAGCTGCAAGTTTAGGCTAGGTGATTCTTCTTTCACCACAAAATTCTTAGAATATATGTAAGGTCTCAACTCAACACATCTCGGTCAAGATGGTGAGTGTGTACAAGGTGTGACTTTGATAATTCTCGAAGTGATCTCGTATTGACTGATCTTGTTTTTGCTATGCATGCTAAATCAGACAGGTTCTCTATCATGTACGCTGTGTATTACACTTCTGCTCCATTCACTTTACTAGGCACTTCATCTACCAAGTTCTAGACACTGCAACAAAGAATATCGCTGAAGCTGGTGTCTGAAGAGATAAATCCACACCTGGCATTGAACATCGGCCTTCGATCTCAAGTTCCGACCGCTCTGACAGCAGCATGGTGCACTTGCCTGTATATACAGGGAAGCGTACATCCTTCAAAGTGTAGATCAGCCTGCAGATACAGAGGTACATCGTTCAAAGAAGACTCACAAACACCTGAATTCCTTCTTTTATGAGTCACAAATATGCTCAATTAACTTTTCCATATCGTAGAAAGTAAACAACTCAAGTGTAATCGACAAATCTTAACTGTGTAGAGCTTGGAAGCCTAAATGGAAGATAGAGAGACAAATCAAAGCTTGTAGATGTATACATTTACTGCATATCTGGTATTTTGATTCGTCTAATGCAAGCTAGACATTCATTTTTCAGACACAAGCTGGTAAAGAATTCGACATATCAGAGGACTCATGTATTACCCTCATAACTCACGAGGGTGGATATTATCGAGCATATGGCGAGCATGTTATCATAATGATAACAGTGGAGTAGAGGTAAAAACAACTGGACTTAAACACAAAATATACTGGATAGGCGAACTTGGACGTAAGAAACGGAAATTTGAACAATGCCGCTTACTCCACACTACGCAATTTTATGGCAACTTCTAACTTTCAGCCAGTTCACAAGCGATCATGAATTCACCCCGGCTTTGCGTACATTTTAGCTGCCAAATGTGAGAGTCGTCAAAACACAGACACACTGAGACTGCAAACACGAACTAAGATGGGCGGAATTAAACCAAGCCAGATATGGCAGCTCTCACGTCTAAAGAGTCCAATCAGAAGTGTAGGATCTTGTGGGACGACTAGTTTTCGAAGTACTTCTCCCCAATGAGGTCCCTTGAGCGACCTAGCCAATGGACTACAGAACGAGCATTCAGGAGCAGCCACTTGAACACGCCACGTAACGACCAGCGGACGACTCCAGGGACGACTCACCGGAAAGCAGGCACAAGGCTCGATTGCTCAACTCGTGCGCTCCCTGGTCGGTGAGAATCGATCGCGCGCGCTTGAATCGATTCGTGCTCCGCATGCCAAATTGCGGCAAGGTAAGATGGAGTGCGAGCACGAAAGGTGGGAGACTGTACCCGGGAACGTCATGAAAGGACCGATCGTCCATGGAAAAAGCTACGTCCGATTCATCGCTTCTCATGGGAGGTGCGGATCTGCGGAATCGTGTGCTGTGCTCGTCCTCTGGTTTGTTGGTTTGTTTGGACCTCTTCTGTCTGCTCCTCCTCGACGCTCGACGGCTTCCTATGGCCACCAATAAGACAAGATTTCCCTCGGTTCACGAAACTGCCTTTTGTAGCTCACTTTGTCAAAACGAAGGACTTTGATTCTGCTCAATCCGTTGTACCATAATTGCGGACTACCATAACTCCTTATGGTAGTCCGTTTAATTATTTGTGGCTGGTGTTTCTTCTTTCTCTCGTCTGTGTCGTTTCTTCTTATGGAACAAGCCTTGCAAACCAAAAGCTACCTGCAGGAGAGAACCAATTTTTTTTCCGTAACTTCACGAGGAAGATTCAATAATCAAAACCTCGTTGCTTCCGCAAGTGGATGATTCAGATTACATTTGGAATCCCCTTTGCTACTCATCCATAAATAAAGAGACGGGACTCTATCTAATATGGTCACAATGGTGATATTTCAAGTAACAGATCTGAACTTTCTATGATAGTCTAAGAGTCCCAAAAATCATCATTCATGATATTGTACTATTCAGTGTATAACATTAAATATTTTTGTAAACAATGAAAACAAGTGATTCTCAATAAATAATACAAATTAGCTAAGAGAATCAGTTGGCCTATAAAAAATTATTGTAGATTTTTATGAGCTTACAAAAATATTTTGAAATCACTTCTTTTATTCTATGCAAGTTCAAACCTAGGTTAACCTACAGATAATATTTCTTCATACTTAAGAACCTTGATTGCCATGGCTTGTCTTGTTGTTGTCTGCCAGCAACTTGTGTCATTTGCATTTGTAACCACAACTTCTACAAATATCTATATTAACTCAAGAGGGGGTATCTTTTTTTTCATAAGTTACTCTTCTCAAATAAATAAATAAATTTTTCAAGCCAAGTTTATTGCAAGGCAAATCAACACCACTTCCACGTGAAATATACACATAGCAAATTTCATAAATATCCAATTGCACATCATGGATATTGATACTCTTTACTACTCCAAGTATACAACAAGTAAAACAACTCAATGCTTCATGTTAGATATGATGACATTTACATTTGATTAATGACTATGTAATTAATTTAGATGTACAACTTGTAATCACATTGTCAACAACAACAATTTTGATCTTCAAGATTTACATCTGCATGATTTGATTTGAATGCAAGATATATCAACCTTTTCATGACAAACCAACATCATATCTCAAATGTCATATAAGATTATCAATTTGACAATTTATGATATGTATTCATACTAAACTTTACTATGATCACAAATGTACTTGTGTGAATAACAAAGATTAATATCTCTAACAAAGTAACGTTAGGAATCATCATTTCACAATCCATAGATAATTAATGTTGTCATGAATACATCTTGGTTTTGGTGATACTGTAATACTCATCATTGTTCATATATAAAAAGTAAATCATCAAAAGTATAAAATTTGAATATTTCAACAGAATTTATCAAACTAGGTTATGCCATAATGAAAATTATTATAATTTTTTATTTTAAGACATGTTACATTATCAAATGATGATAAGGATTTTCCCCTTTTTTTTTAAATCATCAATAAAAAATGGTGAATTTTTAAATCAAATATAGTAATATTGTATACAAATAAAAATAAATTTTTTTTTGCTCAAAATATAAAAATTTATGCAAATTTTTTATATAAAATTATAAATTATAATATTTTATAACAATGTTAACAATTCATGATAACTTTTTTATAATGAATGGATTTGTTGTATTGAAAGACAAATTTCGATGTAAAAATTATCAAAATCAATTTTTTTTATCACAATTTAATTATGTAGTCTAAATCTAGGCAATTTTAGATAATAAATTTAAATTTTTTAAAGAAATTTTTTAAACAACAAATGCTTCTTATGTAAACTTGATCAAATGTAAGTGATCAATATTGACAACTTCAAAAGTTGTCAACACTATTTGGGTATTGATTTAGTTCATGACATTTAATCGAAAATTTCTTGCTCATACTTCCAGCATATACAATGATTTACATATGCTTAGCAAATCAAAGTTATTTTGTTCCCACATGTAATATCATTCTATATCTATATGACAAGTATTAGTCTTAATTATCTTTACTACTCTATCAAGGAAAGTTTTTAAAAATTACAGCAGTTCTTGTTCTCTCTTCATTATTTTCATCCACCCTCCACGTGTTATAATGGTGATATCCACGGCTGTGTAGACCATTTAATTTTTCCAACTGATGAGTACTCAACTTACGTCCTTGGAATCAATTTGACTGCTTGGCAAGAGGCTTGAAATCAGTCTCACGTAGTCTCATAACCTCCTGAGTATGAGTTGGAAGCCTTGTATCCTCACACCATCAGTCATAATTACTTCATAGTCTTTTAGAAATGTCAACATCCAAAAGATTCACTCAAAGCTTTCTAAAAGACATTTCTAAAAGACTAGAATGTCAACATCTAAAAGGTTTTAGTATCATGTGGAGTGTTCATAATCTCAATCTTGCCATCTGACAAACCTTTGGAGTTTACTCCATCCGAAAGAGGTGATGCAACTGATTACTAAACAAAACCATTAAGGCATGCCAAGTTGACAACCACTTGATACTACCTTGATTCCGATTATCCGACTCCAACTTTTTCTTAAAAGTCTAATGCATTTTTGGATAGTCTTCTTGAGCTCGTTTTCAAAATTCCAATCATTGTGTATATGAGATTATTTTTATATCTATCAAAATATTGCATACCCTACCCTAAACCATTGCACGAATGAAACTGGTTAGTTGTATTTATGAAATCACAATGATATATAATACCTGTATAAAGTCCTCATGTGTATAATAATACACATGTATTGATTATTTGAGTTACAAAATTCAGAGTAACTCTAGAAATTTTTTTTTCATCACTTGGAGTCAAGTTCAGCTTTGATGTGATTGAGATAATAGTTCCACACGCTTTGATAGCCTATCATATCTTGTTATGGTTATATGTTTTGAATGTCATTTGGACTAATTCAATAATTTGACTTAAAAATGTCCATAAATGGGAGATATATCTACTTCATATGTTGCCATTACTGACTTGTGCTCCATTTTATTCGAAATTGATCTATATAAAAGTTAAATAAAATTTCTCCGTTTGAATAGAAAGTAAGTATTTTTCTCATCTAGAAAATGTATCTATTAAAATAAATTTGATGAATCCTCCTTATCGTTTTCTAAAAGCGGGAATGGTCTAAACCTTAGGCAGAGGATTTTGCAAGAGAAAAACATAATTGTATCCTCGGATTTTGTGAATTCACAGAAGACAGAATAATAATTATGACATATCCTATAGAGAGAGATGTAATTATTGCACTAAACTCCAAACTCTCTTAATTCAAACATGCCTTCGTTGACTGCTTCAGTATGTTGGAGCTGAGACCATAAATAATGCTTTTTTATACAATTACATTCCGGTAATTAATTTTCATGCCACGTAAACATCCGTTAATTCTATGTTCACTACATAACGAAACTCAATGACATATTGCAACTTGTGTGAACGGCCGTTTACAACAAACATTCCGTACTGGGTTGCATAGATTCGCACTTGGCAAAGCGCCCATCCTTCGAAGGAGAAGGATGGAAACCGAGAATGTTTCCTTCCTTCCTCCCTTCTGTACAATCCATACGTTCTGTACGTCGTCGAGGGTTTGCGGTACGATGCATCCACCGGTCAAACCACGTACTTTGACGATCACCTCGTCTCGAGGACCTTCCTTTGGAACACGGGATCGGGAGGAAGCAAATGGCTGATTATTTCGGCACGAGGGGGGAACGTCGCAGTAATAAAATTCCCCGAGGAGAGCAAAAGTTTCACCCAACCACATTCCCACAGAACACATCGAATCCGACTGGCCCGAAACCCGGTCAAAGGCGCAGTCCATTGACCCGTCACTCGGCAGCATGTCCGATCGAGAGCACGGAGCTTCTCAGCCTCGCGCGTCAGAACCCGCCCGCCCGCAAGTTGCATAGGCACGGTATACGAGCTTCCGACGATGCCCAGACGCCGGAGCTCCAACTTGCGGCTGCGTCCGTTCCGCCGCCTGCAGTGTGCGGGAAAGCCCAGCCGGCCAAACTCCTTCCCTCCCTCCCTTCTTTCCGGATGGAACGGAAGCTCGAAAAAGTCAATCTCCCCGCGCATCGACACAATGTCGGGGCACGAGAGCGAGCGGGGCATGTGGTCGACGGACGACGTGTCCGTGCTGCCCCGGAACGAATTCGGCCCACAGCTCCAGACAAGACGCTGCGAAGTCGGTTCGGAGCGAGCGAGCGACCTATCGCCCGAGCGAACACTCACGATGCAAAGAAGCAGTAGCCGGTCATGCCCGTCGGCATAGGGACGACAGAGAAGCGCCACGACAGTCCAGGGCAGCGGACCGAAGGCAGAAAAGGATGGAAAGCCGAGGGAAGGAGACGAGGATCGGATGGCAGCGGAGTTTGGGCACGGGCACGGGCACGGGCAGGCGACGAGTTCATCAATTGTATTAGAGCATTTGAATATCCGTTGAAAAGGCCAAGTAAGGGGAAGGGACGGGGAGGGAGGGAGGGGAGGGGAGGAAAGGAAAGGAAAGGAAAGGAACCTGAAGAAGAGAAAGCGAGGGGAGTGTAGGCAGCAGGAGGAGGAGGAAGGAGGGAGGGAGGGAGGAGCAGGAAGCAGCACAAGTTCCCACGGAGGGATGTACACGACCTTTTGCACGACGATCTAAGGATTGCATTGGGGCTGTTCGGTGATCTCATGAGGAGGAGTGGAGCGAGGGACGACTCGTCAGCGACGACGGGATTGCAATTGCGACCGCGCTGTCTGCCTGCATCTTTTGCCGCGGTGCTGGTGTAGCTTGCGGTCGAAGATTCCGATGGCCGGTGCCAGTGGTGGTGGCGAATGTTAGGCTGAGGACCGAGAGTATCCTCAGGAGGAGCGGAAGCAGGAGCTGTGGCTTGCAATAGCAGCGCTAATTTTATTTCGACGAACGGATTGAGGACCTCTGTAAAGAGGCGAAGCTGGACTGTTAAGACAAATTTGTGCATAGTTGGGTCGTCCGGATGGTGTCATAGCTGGGTCTGTGAGCGAGTGAGTCTCCGTACACGTGGATCGACGAGGAGGGGAGACGTACAGGAGAGGATTGAGGCCGAGGGGAGGTAGAGGGCAGGAGTGGATTTGAATTTGGTGTTGGAAGGCGGGCCAGATCTTGACGTGAGACGAGAATTGGGTTGGAGAAGAGAAGGATGTGAGATCCGGAAGCTGGGAGTCTTGAGAATGAAGGAGAAGGGGGGTCTTGAGGGATGGAACAAGGGGTAACGAAGTGGGTCGACGAGCCACAGCAGCATCTCCATGGAGCAGCACGGCCTGAGTTTCGTGGAGGATTTTGGGCAGAAGGTGGACCTAACTCAGCGTATCAGGGAGGTTCTTGCCAATTATCCGGAAGGTACCACTATATTGAAGGAGCTTATTCAGAACGCAGATGATGCGGGAGCCACCCGAATTTCGTTCTGCTTGGATCGTCGGCAACATGGAGTGGAGTCGCTCGTTTATGGACCGTTGGCGGAGTGGCAGGGGCCCGCATTGTTGGCTCATAACAATGCACAATTTGCCGAGGAGGATTTTGAAAGTATATCCAGAATTGGAGACAGTAAAAAGCGTGGGCAAGCATGGAAGACAGGACGCTTTGGGTAAGCTCAATTCATAGGGGTGGTCAGACGAACAATTCCATGAATAATTGTCATGAAACAATATCATGTTCGATTAAAATATAGTTTGGGCCATCAGTTGGGAATTTATCTTTCTCATCATCCCCTCACCGCTGCCACGTTTTCAAACAGCTCATGGTTTTAGGAAAACGAGAAATTTATCCAAATTGAGTGATGATCACTACTTGGAGGTTGTTGCTTTGAGTCTCGATGTGAACTGCTTCAGTGAGGAGTGCCTTACTACTGAATGTGAGCTTCTATCCGTGAGCATAGTTTTTGGGAGATTTATCTGAAGTCTTAATGAACTTTCTGGTTTGACAAAGTCGAATGCACAGATTTCAGTATTCTGAGAATTGCATAAATCTCTTTTAGTCTTGAATGCAACACTGCGTTCTGTAGTGAAAGGTATGAGTGCCATAAAGCCCACCGCTCTAGAATGAAGGCAAGTTCAGAGAAGGTGAAATTGGAATCATGATAGGTTTTTTGGATGGATATATTTTGGAATGACTATTTAAAAAATTGTTGCCTCATGTGATCGATTAGCAGCTGCTGTAGGAGCAATTTGTTCTCTTTCTGCAAAATTCACCTTCCAAGAATCCTCTTTGTCTGCAAGTTACTGTCGCTGATATATCATGCTGTTTGCGTGAGAGATTTTTGTTTATGATCCACCTGACTTCTGAATGCGAGCTTAGAACTGGACACTCTCCTCTGTTAGGCGATTTTTTTTTTTAATGCCAAAAGCGTGATAGCCTGGACTTGCCAACAGAACCTCAACATAACTTCTTGGACTTTTCTGTTTCGCAAGTTGTCTGCACAACGAAGATGTGGCGCGGATGTTGATGTTTGGCTTTATCTTCACTTTGCATTTCATTATGTTTCACCATTTGAGACGAGGCATCTTCATTGCACGTTGTAGAGAGGATGTTGCAGCTTGTCCACCTCTTCTTACATTGTGGTTCGTTGTTCAGGGTTGGCTTCAATTCTGTGTACCATCTATCGGACTTACCCTCGTTTGTTAGTGGTAAGTACGTCGTTCTCTTTGATCCACACTGCAAATTTCTCCCGAGAGTTTCTGCAGCGAACCCGGGAAAGAGGATTGACTTTGTGAGCTCCTCCGCGTTGCAACGGCACAAGGATCAGTTTGCACCGTACATTGCATTCGGCTGCGATATGCAAAATCCATATGATGGAACTCTATTTCGTTTCCCCTTAAGAAGCGTGCAGCAAGCTGAAGATAGTAGGCTCTCCAGGCAGTCGTACACGGAGGATGATATGAGCTCGTTGCTCTATGAGCTGTACTTAGAAGCCGTTCCAGCCATGCTTTTTCTCAAAAACATTGAAGTGATAGAAATATACGACTGGCAAGAGGGTGCACCCGATCCCAGCCGAGTCTACTCGTGTCAGGTCCAGTCAGTGTCAGCAGAGATTCGCTGGCACAGACAGGCATTCGCAAGACTATCGATGGCACAAGTGGCACCGAATAAAGGTTCATCGCCTGTGCCGAACCATGACATATTTAGTCTCGACTTTACAAGTGAAGTTTACTCCGGAGTGCATAAAGGAATCAGAAGAAGCGAGTCGTTTTTGATTTCTCAGTGTATGGGCGCAACTGCAAGCAGAATCGGAGCACTTGCACAAAATGCAGCAAAGGATTATGATTTACATCTTGTTCCTTGGGCATCTATAGCCGCCAACGTCTCCAGTGATGGTACAAAGGTACGAATCACCGGATGTCGTTTTTTTTTTCAAGATTTCACCTTGTTTGTTCTCAAGCTATGGTCCCTTTATTTATCTCGTTCTGTGAAGTTGTAGTCTAAAGCTCTGAGCCCAATGTGAATGATGCATCCTCATATTCTGTCTGAACAGGTACAGAATGCAATGGAGGGCCGTGCATTTTGTTTCCTACCTCTTCCAGCGAAGACGGGTTTACCAGTGCATGTGAATGGATACTTCGAGCTTTCATCAAATCGTCGTGACATTTGGTACGGTCAGGATATGGATAGAGGTGGAAAACTACGGTCGGACTGGAACGTGTGTCTACTGGAGGATGTAGTTGCTTCTGCCTTCGCACAATTGCTGCTCGAGGCTTCAAGGCGCCTTGGACATTCTTCTCTCTACTATTCCTTATGGCCCACTGGAAACTTCTCTGAGCCGTGGCTGACTTTGGTCAGGCGCCTCTTCAGTAGTGTAGCTGAACTGCCAGTGCTGCATACTCCAACCGGAGGTGGAAAGTGGGTTAGTCCTGTTCAAGCTCTCTACCACGATGAAGAGTTCTCAGATGCTGAGAATCTTGCTAAGGCTCTTGTCGCTGAAGGATTGACTCTTGTACGAGTGTCAGACCCACTGAGGGCCATGTTGTTTGAGAAATACTGTGTTCTTTCTCCAAGGGTGGTTCTTCCTAGGACAGTCAGGGATCAGTTGCGGAAACAAGTTAGGCATGGAGGTTTGATGGACAGGAGCTGTGCGTTGGTGCTTTTGGAGTACTGTTTAGGGGATGTGATTGATGAAGAAGCAGCTGCCGTTCTTCAAGGGTTACCTCTTATACCGTTGTCAGATGGTGGATGGGCAGTGTTTGGAAGAAGAGGCAAGGGCAACGTCTTTGTATGCAGTGAACTAGAATGCAAGATTTTTCAAAGCTTACCTAGCAAGGTTGTCTCCAGGGAGATTCCCGGGATGGTCCTTAGTAGACTCGAGAGCATAGCTCATCTCTCTAGCACCAATCTTTGTCCTCTTACCGATGTTTTTCTGTTGGAAATGCTTCCCTACTTAATGCCAGCTGACTGGAGAAATCAGGACGAAGTTGAGTGGAGGCCAGAGGCCTTTGCTAGACATCCAAAGCAGGAATGGTTCTCTCTTCTTTGGGAATATCTTCGAGCATCTTGCAAAGATTTATCAATCTTGCAAGAGTGGCCTCTGCTTCCATCAGCTGGTGGGCTGTTGTTGAGACCTGTGGCTGTCTCAAAGTTGATCCGGGGTGGTGTATGGAGCTCGAATATGGAAAGCTTGCTTCTAAAACTGGGGTGCCAGTTTTTGCGGACTGACCTGGGCGTTGATCACCCGCAGATTTCCTACTATGTCCATGAAGCCACGGCCCCAGGTGTTTTAGATGCCATATCAGCAGCAGCGCTGAACCATCTACTTCGTCTGACTCAGATGTTTGAGAGCGTCTCGCCTGCGGAGCGTCGTGAACTACGTGACTATTTGTACAATTCGAAGTGGTACATCGGAGAGCAAATGAAGGAAAGCCACTTTCGGGTCTTCAAAGCTCTCCCCATCTTTGAAGCATACAATGGGTCCGGAACGGCCGAGATGCTCTTTGTAGATCTTGGTGGTCCTAAGCGCTTTCTTGCCCCAGCGGACATGGATGAGTTTCTGCTTGGGCCGGAGTTTTTGTGTGCAAGTTCTGATCGGGAAGCTGAAGTTTTGACAAGGTTACTGGGCATACGACGGCTTGGTAGACCTGCATTTTATAAATGGAGGGTTCTGGGTCGCGTAAGTGAACTTCCACCCGATCTTCGTGACCGCATGATGTTGAGCGTTCTTCGAGAGTTGCCGCAATTGTGTGCAGTAGATCCATCTATCAGGGAGATGCTTAAACAGCTGGCTTTCATTCCGAATGCCGGTGGTAGCCTGAGAATACCAAGGACTCTCTACGACCCTCGGAACGTCGAACTTAGGACACTTCTAGATGACAAGGATTCCTTCCCGGCCGGAGAGTTTGCAGCTTCTGAGGTACTAGAAATGCTCCAGGGTTTAGGTCTAAGGACAACCATCACACCGGAGACCGTTATTCAAAGTGCCAGACAAACAGAGGCTCTGATCAACAGCGACCCTCAAGCTGCTTGCGCTCGTGGCCGGGCACTCCTGGCATATTTAGAACTCAATGCGAACAAGTGGTTGCCTCAAGTTGAAGACGATTCAAGCAAAAGTTTCGGACGAATCTTCATGAAAGTTTCTACCAGTTTCCAATCTTCTGAAGCAAACACTATCACTGATGCAGTCCTCAGCAAGTTTTGGATTGAGCTCGCTACAATATGCTGGTGTCCGGTTCTCATGCATCCTCCTCATCCTCATCTGCCTTGGCCCTCTGTAGGCCAGCCAGTGGCTCCTCCGAAGTTAGTGCGGCTACAAGCAGATATGTGGTTAGCTTCAGCTAGCATGCGCATACTTGATGGAGAGTGTCGGTCGTCGGTCCTTTCGCTGAAGCTTGGCTGGGCATCCGGTCTGAGTGGGAGTGTTTTGGCTGCTCAACTGCTAGAATTGGGCAAAAATCACCTAGTTGTGGAAGACAGGGCCCTCGGTCAGGCTCTAGCAACAGCAGTGCCTCGCATCTATACGCTGCTGAACAACATTCTAGCCACCGAAGAAATGGAGATTGTGAAGGCAGTACTTGAAGGAAGTCGGTGGGTGTGGGTCGGGGATGGCTTTGCAAGTGTGCAGGAGGTGGCCTTTAGTGGGCCTCTCCACCTTGCACCTTACCTACGTGTAATCCCGGCTGATCTTGCTGCTTTCAAAGAGCTGTTGTTAGAATTGGGTGTCCGTGAAACCCTGACGCCCACGGAATTCGCCCTTGTCCTTGCAAACATGGCGAAGGATAAATGTGGTGCTCCGCTTGATGCCCGGCAGTTGAGTGCTGCCATTTGGTTGGTTCAGCATTTGGCTGATTTGCATCTGCAGCTCTCACCCTTCGTTCCAGATGCTAGTTCTATACTTACACCAGCATCTGAACTTGTTTACAACGATGCTCCTTGGCTGTCTAATTCCGAGTCTTCACCAAACCTAATTGGGCAATCCAGCCTCAAAGGTCCAAGGTTTGTACACTCAAAAATATCGAGTGATGTTGCCGAGCGGTTAGGGGTTCGTTCGCTCCGAAGGCTACTTGTGGCTGAAAGTGCGGATTCTATGGATTTGGGTCTTCATGAGGCCGCAGAAGCATTTGGGCAGCATGAAGCTTTAACAACAAGGTTGAAGCACATTGTGGAAATGTACGCAGATGGTCCTGGGATCCTTTGTGAACTTGTGCAGAATGCAGATGATGCGGGTGCGTCGGACGTCAGCTTTCTATTAGATAAAACACAGTATGGGACATCATCAGTCCTCTCGCCTCGTATGGCAGAGTGGCAAGGAGCTGCTCTGTACTGTCTGAACAATTCAGTTTTTACTGCTCGAGATCTCTACGCTATTTCTCGTATCGGACAGGACAGTAAGCTTGAGAAGCCGTCAGCTATAGGCAGATTTGGTCTTGGTTTCAACTCTGTCTATCACTTCACAGATATTCCTGGATTCATTTCAGGTGGAAACCTGGTCATGTTTGATCCTCATGCTTGCAATCTCCCAGGAATAACTCCATCTCACCCCGGTCTTAAGATCAGTTTTGTGGGAAGAGGTCTCCTGGAGCAATTCCCCGATCAATTTCGTCCATACCTGCTATTTGGATGTGATTTGCAAAAGCCCTTTCCAGGAACTTTGTTTCGCTTTCCCTTACGAAACTCCTCAACTGCTGCTAGTAGTGAGATCAAGCAAGAGGTGTACAGTCCGGAGGATGTTATGTCATTGTTTTCATCGTTTCAAAGTAGTGCTGCAGAAGCTTTACTTTTTCTACGCAACGTTACGAGCATTACTGTGTATGTTAGAGAAGACGGCGGTCAGGAAATGCAGGAGCTGTATCGCATTAGAAGGCAGGGTAGCGAGTCCAAGGACAAACACGATATTGCACACAAACAGGTATATGAGTTTGTCCGAGGGGATCCACAAAATCCTATAGATAAGGAGCAGTTTTACAGAAAATTGCAGCGAACTGCGGACACACAACTGCCCTGGCATTGTGGGAAGGTGGACATATCGGTACGCATGGCAGGTCTGGAGAAGTCAGAATCTTGGCTCATTAGCAATGCAATAGGTGGAGGCAGCGCAAGGGACCAGTCTGTAGCATTAGAAAATAGGTCACGGGGCTTCGTTCCTTGGTCGGGCATTGCTGCTCCTTTACAACCAGAACATCCAGCAAGAGTAGGGTCTGAAAATACCTCTGGTACCGTCGGAGTATCTACTACAGTTGGAGAGACCGTCTTGGATGCGAAAAGTGGTCTCAGTTTTGAAGGTCGTGCGTTTTGCTTCCTCCCTTTACCAGTAAAAACTGGCCTCCCGGTGCATGTGAATGGGTATTTCGAGCTCTCTTCCAATCGCAGAGATATTTGGTATGGAGATGATATGTCTGGAGGTGGAAAGTTGAGGTCCAACTGGAACAGTTGTCTTCTTGAAGATGTTGCAGCCCCAGCCTATGCTAGACTTCTGGCTGAAGCTGCCAAGGAGATAGGACCTGTTCAAAGGTTCTATACGCTATGGCCTATTCATACTATAGGAGAACCTTGGAATTCCTTACTGCGTCGACTATATTTGACTGTTGTGGAACTTGATCTTCCTGTCCTTCATACTGCAGTTGGGAGAGGAAAATGGGTGTCAGCTAAAAAAGCAGTATTCCCTGATAACAGATTTTCCGAGGCACAAGAACTCGGGAAGGCATTAGCGGAAGCTGGCCTTCCCCTTGTTGATGCACCTGATCCCGTTGTGTCAAAGTTTCGCGAGTTCTGCCCTTCACTGCGATACTTGACACCTCACTTGTTGCGAAAGTCATTAGCTGGGAGAACCCGCAGTCTGGGGAACAAGAGAGTCCTAGCATTGGCTCTCAAGTATTGCCTAAGTGATGTAGAGCCTTTGCAGGAGGCAGATAAGCTCCCTGGTCTTGGCCTTCTTCCCCTGGCCAATGGTACCCTCGGAACTTTTGCACGAGCAGGGGCTGGAGAAAGAATACTCGTAGTTTCTGGAGAGGATTATGACCTTTTGCACGATGCTGTAGCGTATATGTTGGTGGACCCTAGCATTGAGGAAGATGTCTTTTTGAAGCTTCAGAAAATCTCTGAGCGTGGTTTGACAAATACCTCACCGTTGACTGGCCCTATTCTCGAGGACCTCCTTCCTAGGCTCGTGCCCCCCGAATGGCGGGGTAAGAATGCTGTTGTTTGGACTCCCGGCCTTCAAGGACAGCCAACCTTGGCCTGGATGGAGTTGCTGTGGACGTTTCTGAATGCCTCTTGCGGAGAATTGTCCTCGTTCTCGGAGTGGCCTCTGCTACCCACATCTGATGGACAATTGTTACGACTGACGGTAAGAAATTCAAGGGTTCTGAGAGACGATGGATGGAGTGAGAATATGGCTGGCGTGCTACAAAAAGCACATTGTTACTTGCTCCGAAATGATCTGACACTGAGACATCCAACTCTGGGAGAGTATGTTCATGATGCCACAGCTACTGGTGTGTTGAATGCGTTGCTTGCAGCAGCTGGTGGCAATCTTCGCGCTTTAGCTCCCTTGTTCAAGAATGCTTCAGATGGTGAATTACGAGAGCTTCGAAGTTTCCTCTGCCAATCCAAGTGGTTTGCCTCAGGTGTCATGGCGGGCTTGCAGATTCAAGTCCTTCGAGCATTGCCGGTTTTTGAGTCGTATGGCACATTATCAAACGGTAGACGTAGGTTCGTGGACTTGCCGGAAGGCAAGAGATGGTTTGCGCCTGATGGTATTAATGAAGCCCTTCTGGGGGAGAATTTCGTTCGTGCCGAATCACTGAAGGAGGAGGAGGTACTGACGAAGTTTCTCGGTGTCAGTAAGCTCAGCGAGTCATTGTTCTACCAGAATCATATGTTTAATAACATATCAAAATATAGTCCGGAGGTTAGAGTGCGGGCCATGTTGAATGTCATACACGAGCTACCACGACTTGTAGAAGAGGACCCTTCTATTCTTGCTAAGCTTTCGCAAATTCCATTCGTTTCAACCGAAGGAGGTGCTGTCGAAACTCCTGGGAGGTATATCTTTGACTCATCTGCAGCAAGATCTGCCACTTTTGAGATGCATGTGGTTTCAAGCGTTTCCCAATCTACCCTGAAAAGTTGGAAGCGATCAAGACCTGACCTATTTGCTGTGAATGATGGGTGGATTGGGCTTGAATTTTCAGTTTTACACCTTGCCACTTCTTAGCATGTCTTAGAGGTGTAAACATGCTGATACAAATGTTCGTCTTTGTGCTACAGATTGTATGATCCCCGGATACCCGAGCTGCAGACACTGCTGAATAAGCAGGCATTTTTCCCATCAAATGAATTTGCGACAGTTGATGTGTTGGACGTGTTGGTACAGTTGGGCCTGAGAAGGTCTTTGGGGCGGAAGGGCTTATTGGATAGCGCAAGATCAGTTGCCATGATAAGTAGTTCAGATCAGGAGGAAGCTGTTAGAAGGGGTAAGGCTTTACTAGCTCATTTGAACGATCTAGAAGTCGTCTCTGAGAGTGTTGCCAATGAACATGACGATTTGCTAGTCAAAAGTGGACCAACTTCCGAAGACCGATCCTTTGAGGAAATGTTAGGAGTTTCCGAAAGTTCAAGTTCGTCCAGAGCCTTCAGTGACAAGTCAACAAGTGCAACTATTTTCAACTCAGCAAAACAGTCAACTGGTATGTCCTTAGATAGAAAGCAGGCATCCAGAACCATGAGGCATCCTCTTTCTTACAAGAACGACGACGAGGAATCAGAGAGTAATTTTTGGACACAGCTTATTAATATTAGCTGGTGCCCTGTTTATATTGATGCCCCAGAGCAGGGACTTCCTTGGCCACAACCCTTGCAAGGTCCTATAGCTGCTCCGAAGGTGGTTCGCCCAAAATCGCTTATGTGGCTGGTCTCTGCAACCATGCGTATCCTTGATGGTGAATGCCAATCTCCTACTCTTCTGTCTAATCTTGGCTGGTCTCACCGTCCAAACGTCAGTGTTCTCGCCGCGCAGCTCATAGAGCTTTCCAAAGGTTTCTCCCTTGTCAGTAAAACTACTGCGATCAAACCGAAGGATTCAGAAGAAGAAGGAGAAGAGGTGGATCCCAGAGCGGGTGTCACTGCCATTTTGAGCAGAGAAATCCCCGCCATCTATCAGCTTCTTCAGGAGTACGTTGGATCACAGGACATGATGATATTGCAGTCGATGCTGGAAGGCATACAGTGGGTATGGGTGGGAGATGGTTTTGTGTCACCGAAAGAGTTAGCCTTCGATTCACCAGCACATTTTCACCCTTATTTGCACATTGTGCCTTCCGAAATTGCCGAATACCGGACTCTCCTAACAACGTTAGGTGTACGGGAGATGTTTGGCGCACAAGACTATGCTGATGTACTTCACCGCATCGCTGAAGATGTCAGAGGAGCTGCTTTATCTCCTGATCAGTTGACGTTTTGTTTGAGAGTGCTAGAAGCACTTGCGGAGATTTTGCCACCAGCGGGGACGAGTACTAGTAAGCACCTTATGGGGATGGTGCTCATTCCGGATTCATCAGGGGTTTTGGTTTCAGCAAAAGATTTGGTCTACAACGATGCTCCTTGGCTGGCCAAAAGTGTACCAGGGATGCGACGACTCGTTCATCCAGACATTGATAATGATCTGGCTGATCGGCTGGGTGCTAAGTCATTGAGGTACTTGTCGCTCGTAGATCAGGAGATGACAAGCAACCTTCCGTGCTTAGCAACGAATGTTATATCTGAAGTTCTCAGCGGCTATGGAGATGAGGAGCTCTTGCTGTTTGATTTGCTAGAAATAGCAGATTGCTGCAAGGCTCGAAAGGTTCACATTGTGTACGACAAGAGAGAGCATCCGAGACAGTCTCTTCTGCAACCAAACCTTGGTAATCCTGAAGTCTTTACGCCTTGCATATGAACGTCTTCTTGAACGTTTGTGTGTTGGAATTTCTAGATAGAAGTGCATGCCCTAATAATCGTTCTTAATCGGACGGATGATGGTGATGTGCGTTCCAACATAGGCTCTAAATCTTTGACATACGTCAACTTGTTTTCAGGTCAGTTTCAAGGACCTGCTTTGACCGTTGTATTCGAAGGAGCGGTTTTAACCACAGAGGAGGTTTGTAATCTGCAAGGATATCCTCCAACAAAGCTTCGAGGTCAAATTTGTGATTTCGGTAGTGGCCTTTTGAGCGTTTACAGCATCACAGATTTACCGTTTATTGTATCAAGTGGGTGTCTGTACCTGTTTGATCCTTCTGGACAAATTCTAGCAGCTTCTTTGGCTGATGGTCAAGCTGTTCCTTCCGGCACGCCCGTCGGCAAGGCCTACTCTTTGACTGGTAAGTTCGTACGTTTCTGTGAGTATTTTAGTATAGGAAATGTTCTTTAGTAAGTGCGTGTCGTAGTCTGAAGACCATATTTATTGCTGGAAGGTGCCAGTGTTATTGGAGAAAAATGATGAAAGGATCTGGATGTGTAGGGGAGACATTTCCTCCTGAAACTTCTCACAACATATATTGGTGCGGAGCGTTTATGTATCACATATAGAATCATATATTTTGTTTGTTTTGAGAATCTAGGCTAATAAAACCAACTTCAGATTAGAGAAAGATGTGAGTTATTCTCCACTATCCTGTATGATGTGCATTCACGGGTCACCACCAGAGCGCAGACTTTGGTCTCGAGATATGTACTTTTCGGTTTATGTATGTATCGAAAGTTTTTCGAATTTGTGATTGGAGCTTCACTGCTTACGAGCTTATAACATGGCCTACTCTGCGGATGGTGCTGAACTAAAAGTTTTCGTGCTGAAACAGTCCTGCTTTGAAAGAAATTAGCATCTCTTAAAGGTTAAGCTGTATCATGTGAAACCAAATATCACTCTTTTGTCAATCTATGTACATAATTCATTGGGTCAAAAGACGGACTCCTACTACAGATTTTAACTTGATGTATCACGTGGTTTGATTATCGCAGGCACTGACCTCCCACAGAGGTTCACAGATCAGTTTCGTCCCTTGCGAGTCAGCAACACGATAACTTTGGGGCAAAGAGACGCCACAATAATTCGTATGCCCTTGCGCACGGCACCTGTGTCTGAGAATTTTGGAAAGGAGCTGGGTGATAGGGAGGTTGCATGTATCTTGAACAAATTCAAGATTCACGCTTCTACGACAATGCTCTTTCTCAACTCTGTCGAAGATGTAATCCATTCCTTTTTCTATGCAAAGTTTATTGGGAACCTATTGTAAATATTTGCAGCTCATATAAGGAGTTCTATTCATGTGCACTCAGCATCTTAGACAGCTGAGTACCATCATTCGTGTTCAATCTGTTGCTGCGTAATAGAGTGTGATGCCCTAATTCCTCCTCTAATTGGCACAATGGACCTCTTGTTTCCAGGTGTGTGTGACAGCCTGGGAGGAAGAGGAGACAGAGCCGCACGAATTATTTTCTGTCCGAATTGATCCTGCAAGGGTGGCCCTTCGCAACCCTTTCCAGGAAAAAAAATGGAGAAAATTTCAGCTCACAAATCTCTTTGGTGGTTTCAATGTTGCATCCAAGATTCACAGTATAGATGTACTTCTGACGGAGGATGGGAAGAAAACAGTTGACAAGTGGCTTGTGGTGCAAACCCTTGGTTCTGGTCACACAAGGGATATTGCTTTGGACAGGTATGGTAACTATGGTTTCCTTTTTCCCTTCTGTGCTTTGTAGACTGTGACAGCCAGTTAATAGAAGGTACATTTTGTCCTTCCTGTTACGCGTGTCACCTCAGATTCTGCTGCTTTTGCACACAATCATGGTCTTTGTGCCGTTCCGCATCCGAGTTCCACACATTCTTTATGTTTTGCCAACGTATTTCGATTAAGAACTGATTTTCTCCAACGGGTTTTGCAGAAAATATCTGTCTTACAACCTTACCCCAATTGGTGGTGTTGCTGCTCACATTACACGTAACGGTTTAGTGCCTCCTCTCTCGAATGAGAATTATGTGATGACACCGCTTCCACTGCCAGTTGCATTTGGGCTACCAGTGACAATAGTTGGGCAGTTTATAGTGTCTCACAGGGCCGGACATCGCCACCTCTTTCACCGTCTGCCAAACAACGAGGGTCAGCCAACAAGCTCATCAACTCCAACTCCAGTGCCCGATGAGCTGGCCGCTGCTTGGAACAAGGAGCTTTTGGCATGTGTTCGTGATTCCTATGTGGAGCTTCTTCAAGAACTTCAGCGTTTACGCCATGAACCATCAACTTCACGAGCAGATCCTCCAATTGGGAAGGGGCTTGATGGGACCCACGGTGTTCCGGCTAACAGAGCATACGCACATTGGCCAAAGTCGAAAGCGTTGCTGCCATCTCTGTCTAAGGTGAAGGCAGGTGCTTCATATTATGCGGGCATAGATTGGAGTTGCTTAGCCGAATGGTTAATCAAACCCATGTACGTGCGTCTTGCAGAGTTGCCAGTTTGGCAATTACACGGTGGCACCATGACTAAAGCTTCAGAGGGAATGTTCTTGGCTCCTCCTGGAATAGATCGGCAAGGAGTGGCACCTCCAGCAACCGTGTGTGACTTTCTCAAGGCTCACTACCGTGTATTTGTCGTGCCGTGGGAGCTTACCAAGGAAATGGAAGCGGCTGGCGTAGCAGTGAAAGAGTTGACACCCAAAATGTTACGTACTCTATTGAAGTCTCCCACTGTAGCGGCCGCTGTACAATCCGTTGTCACACAAGTTGATCTTCTGGAGTATTGTTGTGCTGACATCAGCTTCCAAGAGCCTCCTAGTGCAGCAGATTCAGCCCCCGGTGATCTACCAAGCAGCAGCTCGAGGGAACCAGAAGGTCAAACACCTGTGAGCAACACTAACGGTACACCTGTAACCGTGTCTGGTATTAGGCTTCGGCCTGGAATTAATTGGCCGGAGCAGTTTGGGTCGGACAACAGAGGTCTTCCAGGGGTCTTAGACCGCGGAGGAGACGCTGTCGGGTTGGTTGCTGAATTCGGGAGGGCTATAGCCGATATAGGTCGAGGAGTAATCGGCGACTCGGTGCAGCAATTTGGGGTTCTCTCAAAGGCTGTCGAGTTGAAGGGCTTACAGTGTCCTACGGGGACAAGCTCGATGGCTAAGCTGGGTACTGTTGAGCTTTTGGTGGGAACAAAGGAACAACAAAGTTTACTTCCTGGAATGGCTGCGAAGTTCGTACATCCTCTTTGTCTTGAGCGACCTCTCCTAGCTGAGTTATTTCGCCATTCCACATACCAGAATACTTTGCGTTTGAAGCCATTTTCATCTCAGCTGCTGGCAACTCATCTAGGTGTCGTGTTGCCGAAACAGTGGGTTGCAAGAGGTAGCCCGTTGGCAACAGTTCCCTGGGTTCCATGGGAGCAGAGCCCGACTTCTCAATTTAAGGGTCCGTCCTCTGAATGGGTCCAGTCGTTTTGGAAAAACGTGGATGCCTCGTCCTCCGATGAGCTGAACCTGTTCACGCAGTGGCCTCTCATCCCCGCCGTCACCTCCATCCCTGTGCTGTTGCGAGTTGGGAACCGCCATTTAGTTTTCGTGCCACCAGTTCCTCACACTACATACGTAGCCCCGATTGCCACACCAACCGATCTCCTCACTGGCGACAGTACTGCAGATACTACAAACACTTTATCGTTGGACTGCACAAGAGCGTTCGTGGAGGTTGAAAGACAACACGCGTGGTTACTGCCTTTGCTTCGTAACTGCAATGTTCCTGTGTACGATAGGCGGTTTTTAGACTGCAGTGTCCTTCAATGTTGTGTTCCGTCGGAAGGCCAGTCGTTGGGGCAAATAGTGGCATCCAAGCTTTTGGCTCTTCAACAAGCTGGGCAGTTAGTTGTTTCAGAGTTGGCCCTTATGCCAACGGATTGTGATTCATTGTTTTCCCTCTTTGCCTCGTGTACGTATGATTCTACAGTTGTTACTCATGCTGCATCAATACCAGCCTATTCGGCGGAGGAGCTCATCATGCTCAGATCCCTTCCTGTATACAAGACAGCGAGAGGAGGGTATGTGGCCATCGATCAGAGACTACACTGTGTAGTTCCACCCACCACATTCATGCAGCCTGATGATGAACACTGTCTACAGTACTTTTCTCTCTCTGAAGGTGGCTCGTTCTACCATGTGCTGGGAATCTCCGAGCTCACAGATTATGAAGTTTTAGCAAGATTTGCTCTCCCGGGATACGAGACACATAGTGAAAGAGAGCAAGAGCGCATCTTGTCTTACGTTTACTCTAACTGGGCGAGTTTGAAGCTCGAGGATGCTGTAGTAGCTGCGTTGAAACAGACGAAGTTCGTGAGGACAGGCAATGACAGTACACAATCTGAAAACGCAGAGAATAATTTGTGCTCTCCGCAGGAACTTTTAGATCCTGAGAACCCTCTTCTGAAGCGAGTATTTGCCGGTGAAGCCGGGAGGTTTCCAGGGGGACAGTTTGCCACCAGTGGCTGGCTCCGCATTTTACGTGATGCAGGACTACGATCTGCTACTGACGCCGGGCTGTTACTGGAGTGTGCAAGGAAGGTCGAAGAACTGGGACAGCAGAGTTCCCATGAAAATGGGGACGATGATGTGTTTGAAGCAGAGTCCTCAAGTGGCCTTGGCGAAGTTTCTACCGAGGTTTGGGCCGTGTCAGGAATGCTTGTGGAGACGATTCTCGCCAACTTTGCATCTCTTTTCGGCACGAGCTTTTGTGAGCCTTTAAGTCGGATTGCATGTGTGCCAGCGGAACGCGGTATCCTGAGTGGAGGAGCGGGTCGGGGGAAGAGAATACTAGCCTCATACAGTGAAGCGGTCCTTCTGAAAGACTGGTCTTTGGCTTGGACTTGTGCTCCTGTCCTGGCAAGACCCAGTGTCGTCCCTCCTGAGTTTTCTTGGGCAACTTTGCGGTTGCGTAGCCCTCCCCCATTTTCGGTTGTTCTCAAACACTTGAAGGTACTTAGGATATTAACCTGATCGCCAGAGTATGAGATTTACGTATGTCAAGTTCTAGTGTTACTTTCTTAGTTGGAATAATTGCATTGTGCAGTGCTTGTGTTTTACCGCTGCCTTAGTCTGTAGAGTAGACAAGCGTGAGGGTGCCTCTCGGAGAATAACAACTTAGCGTCAACTTTTAGTATATCTGCATTTTGTAGTATGAGATATTCATCTTACAATATGTCTTGATACTTGTTGCATTTGCAGACTGTGGGGAAAAATGGAGGTGAAGATGTGCTTGCCCGTTGGCCTAACGGGAGGGGCATGAAGTCAGTGGAGGACGCTTTCAGCGAAGTGTTGAGATATCTCAGCGCTACCTGGGATGGGCTTTCCGATGCAGGTAATGGAATGCCAATATTTCGTTGCGCCTTGTTGAGTTTCTCACAGTAGTCAAATACCAGTAGTAATCAATATAGTAGCCCTGAGCCAGGTGTAAAGAACAAGGTACGCGTTTGCCGTGCATTTGTGCAAGTGTGATGTCCAGTCATACGCTTTTGAAGCATGGATTATTAGTATCAGACGCGTCGAACGCTCATCACGTCTGAAGTAACATAGTCCGTCATCTTCTGCATGCTGGTGATTAATCCGCCACAAATTTATATCCAAATGCTAATGCACTCAGTTTGAAACTTCGCTGCCAAATCAGACAAGGGGGCTTTGCAAGGCGTTCACTTCATCCCGGTAGCGAATGGGACTCGATTGGCGATGGCAAGTGCCCTTTATGCCCGAATAAGTATGGATCTAGCGCCCTTCGTCTTTGAACTGCCCAGTGCTTTTCTTGCATACGTGAAGGTTCTGGGAGAACTGGGTATGCAAGAAGCTCCAAGCTTTGAAAGCATGAAGCATCTACTTCTACAGCTCCAGCAATCATGCGGATATCAACGGCTAAATCCAAATGAACTTCGAGCTGTCCTGAGAATTCTTCAGTTCATTTGTGACAAAAGCAATCGACTGAATCTTAATGGCCAGCAATCATCGGACGATTTTACAACCGACGCAGTGGTACCTGATGATGGGGCCAGGCTCGTGCATGCACGTGCGTGTGTTTATGTCGATGCTGTTGGGGCAAATCTGGTTGGTGAGATCGAATCAGCTCGAATGAAGTTTGTTCACCCACTTGTCTCGGAACCACTCTGCATCCAACTTGGAGTGCGAAAACTATCTGAGGTGGTTGTGGAGGTAATGTCGAAAACAAGTAACAGTATTGTACAAATTCTTGGCATTTATGGTTGAAACTGCTAACTAAGGAGCTTGAAGTTGATTGCACATGACTTCTTGATTATAATTTGTCTTTGCAACTTTCCAGGAACTTGATGAAAATCGATCATTGGAGATGACAGACATCATAGGTCCAGTTTCGCGCATGAGTGTAGCAGAAAAGCTACGAAGTCGTGCGTTTGTAGAGGCTGCTTGGGGAGTTGTAGTGGAAGCTGGACAGACGGTTCCTCTGCTAAGACAGCTTAGCAAAGAAAAAATCGAACAAACTCTTTATTCTGCTGCCGATGGATTGTGGTTTGTGCGGCGACTATACACGAAGTTCTGGCTTCTTCCAGGACGGACAGACGTCACCAAACGATCACCACAATCGTCAAATTCGATGTCCATCGATGACTTTGGAGATGTATCTAAGGATGTGGGACACAGAGTGTACGAGTTTATCGACAAAAACCGCATTCTTATAGCTGAACCTCCAGATTATGTCAGTCTAACAGATCTGCTAGCCGTTGTTGTGAGCCGTCTGTTGGGCTCCCCTTCCTGCTTACCTATAAGTGCTCTTTTGAAGTCACCTTTGGGCATGGAAACAGCTGTGAAGCGTGTTCTGAGGCTTGGTTCCAGTCAAATTTCTGATGGCAAACATGGCCATCAGCAACAGAGTGGTGTACCAGGAATGAATGTCATTGCACCTGATAAAGCACTGGTACAGTTCCATCCCCTGAGACCTTTCCACGCAGGTGAAATTGTTGCCTGGCGCTCAGATGGAGATGGAGAGGCACAACTTCTCCGCTACGGACGGGTCGTTGAGGATGTTCGAGCATCTGCTGGCCAGGCCTTGTATCGCCTTCAGGTGGAAACAGGAGAAGGTCAGTTCCGCTTTCTGCTGTCATCTCAAGTTTTCTCCTTCAAAGCGACTGCGGCAGCAAATGGATTCGTTACGAAGGTCGAAGACGTCCCTCCTCAAACCGGTGAAGAGATCAGGAGCAGCAACAATAGCAATAAGCAGGCTCTAGTTGTACCATCACCCGTGACAAGTCTACCCGGTAGTTCGAGTCAGGTACGTTCCTTTTGTCTTCGTTACTCTTGAATCAAGACCTGATTTGTTAATACAGACGCAACCAGATCTGATGCTCCTTACAAACGGACCCCTTCAATATCCTCGTTTTAGGAGAAAACGTTGTCGTGAATCGCTTGTTTGTTCTGAGGATGGGAACTCTGGTTTGCAGGAACAAGGTCAAGTACGTGGTGCACATAATGTATCAGCTCAAGAGGTAGGGAGGACAGTCAAAGATATGCTAGCGGCGGCTGGAATGCCAATGACATTGGATCAACACACATTATTGGAACGTAGTCTGGCTCTTCAGGAACAGCTTGCTGCTGCTGATACCGCTCTCTCTATTGAACAGGTCCATCTTCGTTACTCTCTTGCCCTTTCAGTAGGATAATTGCCTGTTTTCATCTATCGGGTTGACTTTTTCTCCTCTGTGGTCACATATCTACCAGCACTTTTACGAATACAAAAAAAATTATGATTCACTTCTAAATTGTGATGATGTATGCGTGGTGGGGAGGCTACAGGAGAGGGCAGATGCGGCACTAAAAGAAGCCGAGGCGGCAAGAACAGCATGGACCTGTCGGGTATGCCTCAGTTCGGAGGTAGACACAATGGTGGTACCATGCGGGCATGTGCTTTGTCACAGGTGTTCATCTGCAGTAGCTAAGTGCCCATTCTGTCGTCGTTCAGTTACCAAAGCTCTAAGAATATACCGACCTTGATTCAATCCATGCCTGTAGGGGGGCACTTACTCACAGTAATGTACATGAGATCTTATACTACACATTCAAAGGGTCACTTGAAAGTAACTGATTCAAGTAACCCCAGAGAGTTAGAGTTTTTGACTTGTAAAGAACTTGTATCATATAAGAATTGTAGCAAATGAAAGTCCTTAGAAACGACTGACAACATTTTTTTACTCCTCCCACATCCCGCCTGTCTGGCTTGACAAGTAAACCTAGGGTGCAGTGAAAGCTTCTGACGGAAGTTTGCAGACTTCTACAAACCCGAGAGGCGCTGGTGCACATGTATTTAGATTCAATAGCTGGACTGTTGATTTACTCTCTCAGGACTTCGCGACCTAGTTCAGAACGACGGACATACATCTCCCTAGGAAAAGAGAACGGCCCAAGTCATCTCGAAATTTGTAGGTGCCCATTGTACCAGCCTACAATCTTTAATCAACCCACAATTGGGGATTTTTTGAGAATGCTTACCGCTGTCACGAGCATTCCTACTATTTGTTCTAGGTTTACACGCCGTTGGATATTTTTTATCATGTCAAGGGATATCAAACAACTCCCTTCATATCTTCCACTGTAATAAAGTGTTGAGAGGCGTCTCTTGCTCACGATACAATTGTGTATCAAATCCTGAAATGACTAGTTGGAAAATGGAGTCCGGTACTCTTAAACTTGTTAGTTGGTCTGTGATGACCTGGATGAGATTTTCAACAAATGCTACTAAAAGGATAATGCCTGGTCAATGACATTTGGGATACGAAAGGCACAAAATATGTAAAGATTGACTTAAAGATACTGTAGACAATCAAATCAATATATGTGCAATACACATAATGATTGTTTCGAGCAGGATTGAATGGTAAGAATCTACAGACGAAGAACGCAAACCCCTTGTAGTGATAGCAAGTTTCAGATGAAATCTTCTGCAGGTACAACCAAGAAGATTCCAATCTTGATTTACATCACCTCAAACACCGTTGTTTCTCACTCTTCGCTTTTTCATCCATATTCTGCGACCTATCTCATCGAGCAATGGTTGTAGGAGTGAAGCATTTCTGTATCTGTTCAACTCCCAGCTGGTCCCAAGATCCAGTGTATAGTCCCACCTAACACCTAAAACCCAAGACTATATTTTGTTTTCACCCCAAAGCCGGATAGTTCACAATCGAGGGCACAAATGTGGCATGGAGGGTATTAATGTGTGACTCCAAATGTCACATTTTTTTGAGCTTGGGCTGGAAAGTATAGTGTTAGGTCATGAATACTTTCATCCCCAAAATTTACGATTCAACAAGCGCACTCACTTTAGTTCATTGATGTCGTGTGATAAGAAAGGTATATATAGGAATATATAGCTTTCATAGCACGTCTTGGTCGTACGCGTGCACCGTGAGATCGTGCAGCAGTACATGAATTCTTTCATCATCATAGTTTTGTTCTTACTTCATTAGCAGCAATCATCGTAGCAGTACATGAATTCTTTCATCATCAAAGTTTTGTTCTTACTTCATTAGCAGCAATCATCGCAGCACTGAGTTCTACCGGTCACAGTTTGTATCTTATTCGTCAAAAAATTCGTATGTGACAGTAAGTCCTAATAAGTTTGAAGAGGTTTGGAAGAATTTTCATCGCCTTTGAATCGAACAAAAACTTCTTACACAAATGGGAGAGTGGACCAGTGTGGTTGCTTCCAGGATCTGACTTCATGTATGAACGTCTTTCCTGCGCTCTCTAACAGCTGAGTTCTTGCTTAGCAGCAGTGTTTAAAGATCAGGTGGAATGGTAGCCAACTGCGTGATACTTTGAAAATGAAGAAGGCTTATGTTCTGAAACATGTACTTTCGATTTCAATACGATTTTGTGATGCATCCACTGGATTCAGAAGTCCAGTACATGTTGGTTTCTTGCAGGTTGTTGGGCTGAAGTTGTTGACAAACAAGCCACTTGTAAGAAATCAAAGCCACAAAGCAATCGATAATTTTCTCCAACGTCAGTATTAGTGTAGAAACATGTAGGTTATCTATGGAACTGCGTCGGTCTACATGTTGAAAACATCGATAAATCTCGAGAAAGTTGGCGACTGGAAGCTCACCTGAAATGTATATCTGTATGAGAGCTTGGTATGTATCAGGCTTTGTCTTCTGCTGCAACCAGTCTCTAACAGGCTGTGGATTCCTCTACACATGTGGATATCGATCAAGAGTTCGTCAGACCTACAGTCTTCCTGAACCTCCTTATGTAGTCTGTTGCACCTATTGTTGGTGTCTACCACGTTCTTCATGTCAAGAGTATCGTGAGCTCAAACACCGCGGCGTGGACCCTGCTCAAGTTGAAGATCATGATCAAGATTAGAGACGAAACATATAAATCATTACTTAGAGGTTTTCCTTCGACTGGGAATATCCATTACCAACTAGCTCTCCCATTCTACTTCTCGGAAATGAAAATATGTTTATCTTCTGCTCGATTTTGATTCGATGTACTGATAATATCTCAAAAATATCAACGAGGATCACGAACTTCGCGGCGATAAGTCTTTTAGATCTCCCTACCAGCTTCACATCTCTCGGAGCAATTTCTCCTACCTCCTTAACCAACATCTACAGAAACGCAGTTGAAAGAGTTTGATTCATCCTCTTCGGTTGATCAATCCCAAAATCCAGGACAACTCTTTCGTTAGGGTCTAGCCTGTCACCGTGGTCATCGATCGTTAAATCTTTCTCTAAATCCAAGCAGCAGCATCGTGAATCCCAGGGCTGCCGTTGCTATGAACTTGGCTGACTTATTTCTAAGGAGCACCGTTATCTTGCCGAGGTATGGCACGAAGCAAACAACTCTGCCCACAAGGTGCTCACGCCGGATCCACTCCAGGTCGGGCCCGTAGATGATCAGGTCGTCATACGGATTGGCATCACCTTTGGTAAGAAGCTCCACCTCGCCCGTCAAACGATCCTCGTGAACCCTGACGACTCGATGGACGATGGGAATCTCTCGACCCTCCAGCCTGAACACAACTATGTCTCCTGCTCGTACGGGCCTCTCATCCACAGCTCTCACGACGAGTACATCGCCTGCCCTGATACCCGGCTCCATGCTCCCTGTGAGCACCACCATCACAGGAGTGGGCGATCCTGTGACATAGATGAGCGACTGCCATATGACCAATGCCAGCCCTGCGGCCTTGCCCAAATCCAGAGCCTCCTCCAAAAACTTGCGCACAATCGAGCTCCTTGCCATTCGACTCCCCTCGACCTGCCCGGGCATGTACACCTCGGCTCCACGCTTGTAGCTCCTCTTCTGTACGATGGATTTGAAGCAAGTGCGAGCCCTAACGCGAGTTCCAGCACTAGCACCACCACTCACTGGCACCGATGGTCAACAGATGGAGAGCGCGAGCGCAGGTGCGAGAGTGGTCGATGCTGTCAATGCTGGACATCTTGGACTCGAGAGGTCTCCATTTTTGTCTCCAATGATTCCGCCTGACCGTCATCCAAGAGTCATCCGGGTTGACTGTGGGTACGACTTTGTCAGCGATGCGAGCGTTTTGGGCTGGTTCGAGTTTCTGGCAGCTCACTAAATTGAGTGCAGGGCTGCCTCCTCGAGCTGTGTGTAATGCACAGACCTTAACATTAACGGCGAAATTTGCAATCAGCTGCGATTTCACGGCGAGCAGCTCGGATCTCTGGCGGGTTCACGAGTCGCCAGTACAACTCATTATTTCTTAGACCGACATCCGTGCACACTCAAATTTTGGTGGAGCTTTCTCCTTAAAAATGTCGACGTTGTTAATCTTATGACGTTGGGCTGGGACGATCTGTCCCGTTTCAGTTGACACTTTTCAGAGATATGTGCCTGAACGTGCAATTCAATTCCTCTGCCATCATCGCAGAGGAGTCAAAGCCGCGTCCATTCAGCGCCTGTCGGCATTGTTTACATTTTTTGATGGAAGGACGTCTTCCAGATCCTTCTGGAACTCTCCTTCGTCATCCGTCAAAAACTCTTCGAGAGTTCGACAGGATTGGTGGGGAAGAGGATATCCGAGCCAGAGTAAGAGATCATGGGTTGCAACTCTGCCGTGCTCCAGCTTCGGGTTAAGGGTCCTGCGAATTCATGGGCTTGAGGAAGCTTGCCCGTGGACTCAGAAACAAACAGCTCCGTCTTCTTGTTCATTCCCCGGTCCCTGCTGCAACAGACTCGCATTGTTCTGCCAGTAGGTATACAGCTTTGTGTCAAAGCAATGTAATGACGAGCAAATCTGCATCAAAGCCGCTCAGGACTGCTAGGACTCGATCACTGTAGTGGATGTTTTCCCGGTATGCCAGTGGGGACTCTGGCGGTTCAAGTAGCCAGCAGCTTGCAGATGACATTTGTCAAATGCTTGGCTCGACGGAGACTAGAACTTGACACAGCACTCAAGATCACAAGCACGAAAAAGATCCAAGGGTTCTTGGACCTTTTCTTGGACATGGCGGTCGAAGGAACCCAAGCACAAGGAGCCAGGGCAAGTGAGTAACTGGCTCGCTATGAGCAAGCCAAAAGCTGTATGATGCTGTTTCAAAGCTAAGAGATGCAACATCCACCGACAATGGTACCAGTGATTCGACCAAATCTGTCATGCGGCGACTTCTCTCGGAACTCCCGCAAGGCCTGGAACAAAAGGTCTCGTAAACTCCAGCTCAGGATTATGTCCATGCGATCGTTCCTCTACTGCCCTCCGCCGAGTCCCGCAGCCTCGGCTCTGAATTAGCTCAACGCGCTGAGGCTGCAGGTGAAGAACGATCGTGGTAACACGCCCTAGGGCGGCCACTTCGGCCAATCCCCTGCAGCAGCTGAGAACATCTCGCACAAACCGAGAATTTGCATCACTGTCATGAGTGCAGAGCGTGATTCAGACATTGTCGTGTAGAGTGCAGGAGATGGGAAAATTGTCGGGCAGACGGCGCGTCTTCTCCTCGGAATTGCCGCCACCTCCCCATGGAAGCTGCGGCTCTCCTCGCCATGCCTGCTGCGCTCCGAGGAATGACATACACGTGGTGAATTGGCCGTCACCGTCCGCTGCGCTGGACAGCAGTCTGCGCAGATCATGGCAAAGGATAAAAGCAAGTCGTCCCTAATCACATATCCCGGACTCTTTGACTCACCAAACCTCGAATTCTGATCGTGCCCTGCCATACATTTTAACAATATGGACGAAGAACAGATCGAATAGTTGTTCCAAGGACTACACGAATGGAAGGTAGATCATTTTTACGAAAGAAAATTCGAAAAATATTTCAGAAATGAGGGGAGCACAAAGCAGGGAAGATATACTTTAATGTTTGATACCTCCAGGAATCCTTTAGGATAGTGCCCCTTGAAGAATCTAATTCACTCTGAAAATCCCGCTGTACAAATTTTTGTTGTTAAGCATCACCATTCACCAACCAAACTTCTCCCTTAAAAACACTCTCTTGGAAAAAACAATGGTGCAAAACGAGATGCTGTAACTTTGAATGTAGACCAGAATAGACGAGCCTATCCGCAGAGCTGGAGTCTTTGACCATGTCATGGGCACGGTGAGCACGACACAGTAAGACCCATTTCTGTTTGTGCACTGGTCTGTACTGGCAAGCCGACGATCAATGTGAAACGGTTGGTTGCGGTCAGTGACTCCGACACCTTCAGGTGCCTCCACGCATTTATTGGCTGCGCGGATAAGGTTCTCGAGTTCGATCGTTGCGCAACTGCTCGTCTTGCGTCCGCCTTTTGCCATCTCAATGTCTTGAAATGTCGAAACAATGAAACATGTTCGAGTGCTCAGTTTGTCATGTGCTGCCATTTGAAAATCTGACCAGATGAACCTTTGATGTTGGAATCCAGATAGACCATTCTCTATATTTTTCACTTTGGGTAACATCAGTAACAAAATTAAATATTATAAAGAACTATGAAGAGAGGCTTTTGTAATTTTTTTTCAGAAGTATTTTGAATGATTTGGGTCATTTTGAATAAAAAATTTAGATATTCTATATGAATATCTAAATTTTGGAATTTTGAAGTGACGTATTGGTGGTTATTGACTCGGTGGTTTGCCATATGGACTTGATGTGTTATCAGAAAAATCAGTGATTTATCCATGTAGGAGTTGCAATATTTTTAGTAAATATAGACATGAATCACTTACGTTTTTTCTTACATCCTCTCTTTTGATGCCAATGTAAATACAATTGTATCATGATGTTGATACTTTTACATCACCTCTAGCTACGGCATAGATGCATCTACCTAGAATAAAATAATTATAATTAAATTGAATGATGAGTGAGAGTCTTGAAACAACATGCTTGTACATCTCTACCTTATCTTCTTATACCTTACCTTAACATTATACATTCTTAGTTCAATACTAATAGTTTTTTTTTTCAATAGAAACTTTTTCTACGGCTTACTATCTGGAAAAGAAATTATTTTCAGATTCAAAAATGATATAAATACATATTTGCGAGTTATTGAGTAAGTTCATGGTAGATTGAATATGAACATGATGAATTCCTCACATTTGGTTTTTGCTCTTATATTAGTTAACTTGTCAACATTCTTGGTAATGTTATGATATATATGATACTTATTTTATAATATTACTTATTTCATTGATTTTGTAATTTTTACATTATTGTATCTATGAAATAGCTTCAGATTCTTATCAATGTATTATGTACTATTTGTATCACATTTATAACAAAAGCGGATGTTTTCGCTACAACTTCAACATAATTTTCAAATATTTTCATGAAAAATTTAGGTTTGTATCTACTCATATTTTACATGAATATAGACATGTATATCTTGACAAGGTTTTACAAAGACTTGGTGAAGTATAAGAAACAATACTTTTTGAAAATGAATTAGGAATCCTTGACAAAGGAGTTGATGGAAAATCCCAAATCCTTTTGGAGGCTGTTAGTTGTGAGATCTTCTAAACTTACTCTTGGTCCCAAGAGTTTGATTGACTTTGCTGAAAGCTTTATTTTTTTCCTGATGCTGCATCAATGTTTTGTTGTGAAGTAACATCTAGCTTATTTTCTGAATCAGAGATGATGGTTCAAGTCAGAAAATTAGCAAATGGTAAATCGGAGTATTTGGATGTACTCTCTATTGAACTTTTGAAGTGAGTAGGAGATGTTATTGGAACAATACTCACTTAAGCGTTAGAGAATGCTGCTATGTATGATTTTCTTTCAACTTGTTCTTTACCAAAAATTGTGCCTAGTCACAAGTCAATAATGAATGACTTGGTGACAAACTATCGCACTATCATGGTAGATAGTGTTTTTGCCAAATTGTTTGGCAAATTGGTGGAGTCAAAGTTGAGCACATGGACTGAAGTTCATCTAAAGAGAGCGCAATTTCAAGCAGGTTTTTGCTCTACATACAACACCATTGACCATATCTTGGCCTTGCGTGTTTTATGGGAGAAGTCAAAAGGCAATGAAAAAGCATTGTTTTGCGCCTTCATTTACTTTAAGAAATCTGTTGATATTGTACCTCGTGAGCTATTATGGAAAATGTTACAAGTCATTGGAGTACCATCAGATCTTCTAGCAGCTGTGGCCACGTTATACCATTCTATTTGAGCCAAGATCAACACTTCTCAAACTGAAGAGGTTTTGAGTACCATTGGAGTGATTCAAGGTTGTTCTCTCGCTCATACTCTATTTGGAGTTTTTATAGATGATATCGAAGAGTGGTTGGAGGCATGTGATTAATGAAGGTGTCAAGTTTGGCAACTTTGTTATCAAAGTTCATTTGTATGCAGATGATTTCATATTACTAGCACTTGATGCAATTAGTCTATAGAAACACCTATACACTTTGGTTAGCTTTTGTACCCAAAGAAAGATGAAAGTAAATATGGAGAAGTCTAAAGTCATGATAGTGGACACTAGAGCCAAGTTCTACTTCTATTACAAGGATGTACAATTAGAAGAGGTGAAGAGTTATAAATATTTAGTCATTGATTTTTATAATGATCATAGTTGAGCAGTTGCGTGCAAAAGAGAGTAGAAGGTGGTTACTGTGGTAACCCACTTTTTGTTTTTCGTCGGAACTAAAACATTTTTGAATAGTAAGTACCGCGGTAGCAGCTGTAAATAGTAATCGGTACGCGAAAACATAGTAAAAAGAGTATCGAGTACAGTCAAGGGGTTTTGGGCTTAGGCCACAGTCGAACGTTTGGGATGGAACGGGCGGTTCATGCTACACTACCCGCTTCGAGCGACTTCGGCGGTAGATCCCTCATAACTTTTTCGTAACGCCTTGACTTGATTAGGGTATTGTTGGAAGAAGCTCGACGCGATGGTTCTAACAAGCTGAAGAACTCTTGGAACGAATAAGAGATCAATGAGTTATGAGTGTCGGAAGTTACTGATAGGGAGGACTTTCGGGTCAAGCGACTTCG